ACTTTTAGACTGTCCTTGTAGCGCTTTCGCTGCCCTCCAACTGTGCGCTTGCCAGAGCAGAGTTCCCCGTAGAAGAGCTGCTTTGGAATGCGGTCATCTGGCATGCGGGAGACGTGGCCTGCCCATCTCAGCTGGGCCTTGCGCATGACGGTGATGACACTAGAGAGGTCTGCCTGCTTCAGGACTTCTGTGTCCGAGGCTTTGTCCTGCCAGCGAATGTGGAGAATGTTTCGGAGGCACCGCATGTGAGATGATGAGATGATGAGAATAGAATAGAATGGAATACATGTAGAATAGAATAGAACAGAATAGACTGAGTAGATCCTTTAAGGATAAACGTAGAGAGTTTGAAAGGCTTGCGTTCACCCACAAAAGCCATATGAGCATTGTGAAGACAATTTGTATGTCACAAAAAAACCTAAGTAAACATGACATTAACCCCGTTTTTCCATGTCACACAATCGCCTAAGTAAGTGTCGCATAGTTGCTTGAAAAATGTGCCCTAACGTAGCTTATCCAGCAAATGCTCAGCGTTTTATTTATTTAATTCCTGTTATTTTCAAGTACCCAGGGCTGCTCCAGCTAACGTGACAGCCTACAACACAAGCTCTGTGGGTATTATCGTATTCTGGGAGCAGATTCCCAGGCCCCACCGACATGGGAACGTGATCGGCTTCAAAGTCTGCTACAAACGAGCCGATAAGAACGACAGTGTTCTGTACTGTACAGCGGTGTTTGCCTTGGGGATAGAGCTGGGCGGTTTACGTTCCTACACACCCTACTGGATCACAGTGCTGGGTTTCACCAACAAGGGTGATGGACCTAGCAGTCGGCCACTGTTGGTGTGGACCGATGAGTTTGGTAAGTTAGTCCGTGACAGATAACAACGGTCAAAGAGTATCCCAAGTTCGTTAATATCAAAAGAGTGTATATTGGAAGCAGGAGATTTTAACGGAAGTTATAAAATGTTCAAGGAATTGTGCGCGCTATGATTGGTGGATTTTAGTTCAAGAAATCGCCATCAAGCACATGTGCTAGACCCAAATCGCGCGCGGCCTCGTCAGTGCGTGAGTCAGTGCATTGGGTGATTTATGCACTTGTGAACTTTTAACGACACTTGAGAAGTGCGAGAAGCTCTAGGCGTTCTTAAAAGTTCGGACTTGCTTATACACCTCAACAGTACACTCGGCGAGTTAACTATTTCCCTTAGCAATAAAAGACAATTTCTGAGCAAGAAATCTTTTGTTAATAAGTTTGAGTGTTTAATGGAAGTAGCCTCTTTGCATCATGCCGGCGTGCCAGTTATATCTTTTTTTTTTTCGATAGTATTACATGTTACTCGAGTAAAGGTTTGGTACAACGCGCAAAGTTGCGCTAATTCAAACTGCAGAGGCATACCACAATTAAACATTATTTGGTTAGAAATCGAGTCATATTAATGAAAAACCGTTTTAAGATTTTACTCTCATATTTTGGGAAATGTTAGTTTTACTGACAGCAAGTTGTTGTTGTTGTTGTTTAAAAAGAAATATTTCAACAAAAGTAGCCCTCTCATGGGATTATGTAACCATAAAGATCAGATTTCTCGTTATGACGGATTGACGATCTAAGCGTCCCAGCAATGCTATATTATTATTACCTCCTTGTCTGACTTGCAGTTCCTTCAGTTGCTCCTCGTATTACATCTCTGACGGCCAATTACACAGCTATCAGGGTAGCCTGGGCACCAATACCTCAAGAACACGTCAACGGAATCCTTCGAGGTTATTACGTCATCTACTGGAAGATGCCTCGGGTGTCCCATGATAACCGCATCATTCAAGTCAACCAATCAACTCTCAGCATAGTCATCGTAGGACTCAAACAGAACACTACGTATGGGGTGCGGCTGACGGGGTTCACTCGTATCAGGGGCTGGATAAGGAACGGTGTTCTTGGCCGCGTGCATAATATCACTACAAAGCATGGTGAGAAGATGATTTTACCCCATTTATTCCCATTACTTTTATTGTCGTTTTAACTTAAAGAAACAACACTTTTTAACAAGGCTGAGGAAAGTATAAACCATCTAAAGTGAAAGTGCCTGTGGTCATCTCCAACTGGCTACCTTGAAGAGAAGAAGTTCGTATGAAATTATTACACGAACCTACTCGATGTTCTCTTTAACGAAACTTTTGTTAAGTTGAGTGGACGATCCGGTAACCAAATGCCCAATCATAGAAAGTTTTTCAATTAATGACCACCTGTACATTCTCTTCACAGTTCCAGAGGCTCCACAAAACGTCAATGTGTTCAGTCCTTGTTCAACCTGTTTGACGGTGACGTGGGATCCAGTTTACACATCTCCAACCGATACTTTAACAGCTTATCACGTGGTGTACAAAGACGCTTCAGGGAAGGCTTACACGAAGAAGATAGGGTCCAGAAAGTCAATCGTGCAGTTGACAAGTCTCGAAAAATTCTCCACTTACACGGTGACAGTAACATCTATGACACATGAGGGACTGGGAGAAACTAGTTCGGCAGTTACGGTCACTACTATGGAAGATGGTGAGCTCCTTTCTCTGTGTTTTTCTTCGCTTTTGTAAGTAGACCCTTTGCCAAGAACAGAAAATAATAGCCACGACAGGTCAGACAAAAAAAATCCGTTTTGCAGGTCGAAAGGAAATTTTTCCCACCCTGACTGAACTGGTCTCCTCACATAGGCACTCGGCACTAACTTTATGCCAAAATCATGTTCAAAATGGCAGGTTTGTTTGAGAGTTTTTCAATGATTTTGAGTTAGCAAAAGCTCATTGGAAAACAATGATGACACGGCTATTTTGTGTGGGCAGCTACTTCCATTAGGATAACTTAATAAAATACGGCACATTAAATTTCCCCACCGGTGTAGCATCTCATGTTTCTAACATTAACTTTTTGTAACCAGTTCCCAGTCGCGCTCCAGACTCGCTGCAGGCCAGGAGCACTGGGACTCGCAGTATCTTGATCGAATGGAGTCCAGTCCCTGAGAAGTATGTCCATGGTATTTTAAGAGGCTATCACGTGTATTACAGGACTGGGAGGTCAAAGGTCAAACGCTCAACCAACCATGTTGGAGCCCTATCAGTCAATACATCGGGTCAGAGTCTAGAAATCAAAGCTTTAGAACCATTTACGTCTTATGATGTTTGGGTGTCTGCATTCACTGTTATGGGCAGCGGTCCCTCCAGTAGTCCAGTGACAGTCACAACTGATGAAGATGGTGAGTATATCCAGCAATGCTTCACATGATGAACCTTAATGAACCTCTTCTCATCTATTAACACGCATCATCATTTATCTCTTATCAACCCCCCGAGGGAGCATAGGGCGTCCTCCGTACCTTCCAATGCACACGGTTCTTTGCTAATGCTTTGACTCTCTCTCAGGAGTAGCCCACTCTTTCCAACTTCTGCAGCATGGACCACTTTCATTTGTTCCTTGGCCGTCCCACTTTCTTCTTTCCTTTTTGGCTGATTGTTCAACGCTTGTCTTGCCACATTGTTGCTATCTCTTCTGAGCGTATGGCCAATCCAATGCCATTTCCTGCGCATTACTGATGTTGCTATTGTTTCCATGTTGGTCCTTCTTAGCAACTTCATATAACACTGACACTTTCTAACTACGAACAGTTCATTTGGCGACTGCAACGGCTGAGTGGGTTTTTAGGTTACCTTCAGTAGGAAGAACTCGAATCAAACGCGCCAACGGGGTCATAACAGAATTTGCATATCACTTCATGATTGTCAAGAACGTAACTTATTATAGAGGAAACTCCGCGAGCGGGCAATATGAACCGAATCCTGCTACAGACCTAATTGGCAAACGTTAATAACAACATTCCCTACAAACAATACGTTAAGTGTTCTCTAGCAATCTTCATTCTGCTGTTCTGCCATTCGTCTTCGAACTAGTGCCATCACGTGCCCCCCGACTTCTTCAAGTGTACGCCAAAACTTCCAACTCAGTGTTCGTGCAGTGGGAACCCATTCCAAAACACCATGTGAAAGGAATACTACAGGGATATCACGTGCACTACAGCCAGGAAGACACGAGCTATCCCGTCATCAAGAACGTGATGACTGTAAATGGATCTGTGACGCATGTTACTTTGGACAGCATGAAACCGCTGACGAGGTATCGCGTTTGGATCACGGGCTTTACAAGAAAGGGCGTTGGCCCCAATAGCGAAAAGGAGTTTGTTTCCACTCCCCAACCAGGTAAATTTTAACGGTATATGGTTAATAGTCTTTGCTACAACAGGAAAGTGCAGTTGAAAGCAGAGGAGTGAACTTTTTATCATGCAGCTTCTAAGGTGTTATAATATAGATGGGACCCTGCGCGCGCTCTGATCATAAAGCAAATGAAGAAGCCTAAGCCGTGTATTACGCTGTGGTAAAACACTCCAGACATTTGAGAACACTCGAGAAATGTAGAAAACACTCGCCTGCGGCTCGTGTTTTCCGCATTTCCCTCGTGTTCTCAAATGCCCGTCGTGTTTTATTAGAGTGTAATACACGGCTTAGGCTTCTTTATTTGTTAATTAAAAGACCTTTATTGATGTTAATAGCGCTATGTAAAACATAGCAGTTTCTAGAAGTTTGCTGACATAACGATTAGTGTGCTGGACTCCGGATTTGGCTTACCGAGTTCAAGCCCTGGTGTGGGTCATTGTGTTGTGTTCTTGGGCATAACACTTTACTATCACAGTGTCCCTCTCCACCGGTAGATAAGTTAAGTCTGCATACGAGCCAAGTGGCTCATCAGACCGGAGCTTATCCCGGTTTCAGTAGCATGAAGCGACTAGGAGTATTTCTACTCCCCCCTGAATGGGATGCCAGTCTATCGCAGGGCTAACCCCAGGATTAAATTCGCCGGTACTCATTTATACACCTGGGTGGAGAGAGGCCACGTGAGAGTAAAGTGTCTTTCCCAAGAACACAACACAAAATAACACAATGGTACAGGCATATAAAAGGACACGCATAATCGCTTCATGCTACAGAAACTGGAATAAGCTCCGAATAATGAACACAAGACACTTCAGTTCAAACTTAACATTTTTTGCAGTTCCAAACAGTCCTGAAGGAGTCCACGTAGTTATAGAAAGCCCACAGAGTGTGCGTGTCACTTGGCGGTCGCACCCAGGCCTCAAGGGGCTCGTGACGCGTTATATGGTAAAGTGGCTTCATGTGGGTAACCCCGCTGACTCTAATGTGGATGGTCATAAGATCGTGAATGCTGGAAACCCGTACCGCAGAGAAACTCAAGTTGGTGGACTGAAGCCTTATAACATGTACTCGTTCATGGTGCGAGAGGAGGTTGGGCAGGACAACTGGGGCAAATTTTCTGCTCATGTGGATATTATTATGCCAGAAGATGGTACGGTCAAGGACCCGCTTTATCTGATCTAAATTATACTTTGTCCCTTAGTTAAGTCCTACAAGCGAGTTCTGATTCAGTTACATAGTAAGTGAATGGAGGTATGCCATATGCCGAATGACATTTTTTGGCCAGGCTGAGCAAAATGATTGGTCGTGATCTGGCTATTGCTGTTGATAATGCATAAGCCAGACTCTAAACTTCAGTTTTCTGTGGCTAATTCTTAATCTAGTTAGTGCTAGGAGAAGTATTAGAGAGGTTAGGAATTCCGTTTACGACAAATGGCGCACGTCAAAATTAAATTTTAGCCCTCTTTCTTCAGCTATATTTACACTAAAGTGAAAATATTCCGTTGTATTTCCTTTGAATAGGAGTCTTTTTTTCTATTTTTGTGTTGGTTTGGCCGTTCGCTGGACATGTCACAGGGGCGTATCTGGGGAGGGGTCCAGGGGTGCCCGTTACCCTCCCTGTTGTAAGCCTTTTTTAGGCCAATAACCTGTAACAGGTGGCAAAAACGACATAACTACCTGGTGAGTACCCTCACTTTGACACAGTGTGACCCCCCCCCCCCCCCCCCTATGAAAAATCCTGGCTACGCCCCTGTGTCATCTTTTGACCCTCTATTAGTTGGGCTTGGTCTGATTGGCCGTTACCTCTGTCCGTTCCAGTTCCCTCTCCTCCACGCAGGATTTCAGTGAAGCAGAAGGAGAAATCTCGTCTAGTTCTTCAATGGAGAAAACCGGAAGAAACAAACGGCATCATCAAAAAATACGTACTTCACTTTCGCGATAGCGACGGAGTTACTAAAACTTATACCTTGCACTCTGACGTCGACAAAGAGTATGTGACATATGAGGTGACTCTTCCTGATGTCGAGGCTGAGTACAAGATAAAAGTAAGTAAAAAAAAAAAAAGAACTCAGTTAGACAAGTTCTTACTGGCAGACCCCCATGTATACGTATGATTTTTCATTCACGTCGTTTAAGTCACGTTGATGGAAATCTATTGGTACGTTTTTGGTCAAAACGGAGGTTCTTAAAACGTGTATAAAGCCCAGGCCAAACGGACTCGCAAGTTTCTTCGCAAGTGCACGCAAGTATAACACTTCAAGGCCACAGGCTTAGTCCCTCGCCACTGCCAATACCCTGTATTTCATCGGCTAATAGGTTGCCATAACAACGAATGGACTTCACTCAACTTGCGTTGATTTGGGTTGAGTGGCCAAACGGCGAACAACTTGTGTCGACTTGCGTGCTAATTTGATCTCGACTAAAGTGAGCGCAAGTCATCGCAAGTCAACGCAAGTGCACCCAAGGCCTGGCCAAACGGACTCGCAAGTATACCGAAGTTTTCAACTTGCGTCTACTTGCGAGTCCATTTGGCCAGGGCTTAAGTTGTCGAAATCTAAAAATATTGTAAACGTAGTCAAACGTACATGTGTACGTTTCCAATTTGAAATATTCGAAAATGATTAAGTTGAAAAATGCAGCGTGAAAAAGATAACCTCGTCGCTCAGAGATTACCAAAAAGATAGCAATGACCCCTTCCCTCCCCCATGTACACCCGTTTTTACCCTTTGACTGATACAGTCTTACACTAGTAAGTATTGGTGCAATGTTACCCTCTCCACCCTAGGTACAAGCATTCAACTCATTATCGGGACAGATGAGCGATGAGATTACGGTTCAACACTCGCCCAACATTCAGACATCGGAAGGTAAATATTTCCTCTTTCAACGTTCTAGTGTTTGCTTATAACGGTAAAAAAACACAAGCTTTACTTTATTAAACTGAGGTAGTTTTACGTTAACAAGTAAGTAAAGGAAAAGGTGGTCTACTTCGTAAGCTTCCATGACTGATCAACAAATGCAATCCTACATTTTAATATTTGAAGTAAGTTGTTAAAAACCGCTTTTCAGTAGGTAAATAAACTCACCCTACCCTCCAAAGGGTCACAGTTTCCACCGTCGTTCCGTCCTCAACTTCTCAAATTTCCGAAATCGATCCTCCAGTTTCAAGTTCAACGCTAGGAAAGTGACTGAGAACTTAAAGCTTTGTACCCCTGTTATGCATAGAGAATTTAATAATTACTGGCTGCCTAGTTTATCCACTCGTAATTTGATGTACCTCCGCTCGTTTCAAGAGGTTTTCTAACAAAAGTGTTGTTAGACTTCTCTACAAACTCTTACAAACAACGAAGACACTAAAACCGGAAGTGGCGTTATATTTTCGCGGCATTTCACTGCCGCAAAACCTTTCCCACATCAAAGTTCGCGACAAACCAATCAGAATCTTTGTCTATTGTGCTGATATCTTGCAATATCAAGTCACTGACCTGATACCGCTGAATTTCTGGTCATATCTGGGATACGGTTAATATCTAATTGTACCATTCTCAATGGTATCCTTTGGCAGCATATCAGGCTTGGTTGGTTTAAGCGAAATACGAACCGTGAGTCGACCAAACTCGCTTGATATGCCACCGAAGAGAAGAAAAAAGGTACGGTTAGGTCTAAATAACAAGCGCATTTAATTTTCCAGGTCGTAAACCTAACAATATCAAGTTCAAGTTTATATGGCTTGTCGCTGGACTGGCTACTGTTGTTTTACTTCTGGTGTTGGTCACTATATTTGTCCTTGTTAGGTTTGTATAATGCACTCTTTACTCCGCCATTTGTTTTCTTATTCTATTTAAATTAAGCTTAGTTTAACAAATATTCGAGAGGAAATACTGCACAATCCCGATGTAACGAGCATAATTGTAGCCTGCGAGCAGGCTCATGTTGGGGCACAAGTGCGCGCGGCGTAGCTGCGCGCGCGAAATCGAGCGGCGAAGCCGCGAGACGAGAACTTTCTTGGTGCCTCTTCACCAGACTCCTTCCCGCCGGATCGCCTCGCTCTTCGCCGCTCGCGCGCGTGACTCAAAGATGAGCCTGCTCGCAGGCCAGCATAATTGTTGCCACACATACTGTTCTTTATGTCCTAGTTTTATACTCTAGTTACCTCATTATGGCCATACAAACAGATTAGAATTACGTTTTGCTTTATGAAGTTTTTGAGGTTATACTCCAACAATTTAGAATGCTTACATCTGGAGATCCCTTTATTGTATCTTCCTCAATCTTACATAATTTTCATTGACAAAGTTTAGTTAACTGGTAGTCTAGAAAGTTGATTATTTTGATTGAAGTGTATAGAATCTGATCAAATAATGAATGAAGATATATCATACAGAATGGAAAGCATTCTTAAATTGTCACACGTTTTTTGCAGACGAGAATCACGACGCTCGAAAAATCATGCTGACATTCATAAACGTACATGTAAGTTGGTTTTGACCTTTTTATTGGATATCTCTCAGTCTTCTAAGCGAGGAGGTTCCGAGACTCTGGTCTTTGGGGGCTTTCATTACACGGACTTCTGTCTTGCACTCTCTACGGCCACACGGAACGAACTGAACTTGGAGGATTAAATATCTTTTTAGAATACTAGTCCAAACACTACCACACGACTTTCAGAAGCGAACCACAAAGTTCTTGAAACAACCAATAGAAACTAAAGTTTAGAGAACAAGAAACCTAAACAGGATCTTTGTGGGAGATTCAGACCAAGGCCAGTAGACAAACTCAAACATGACCATCGATGGGGTATTGTTCGGAACTTAAGTATTCTCGATAAACTAAAATAAACAACCTGAAGTTATAAGACTCACTGTGTGGGAAGTCGGGCCCTAGAATCACAAGACTAACGTGGTAACTACAATATGATAAGCAATTGGTGATCACGAACTAAAAAGAACTCAAGTCTATAAAAATTGTTAAGCTTCATAATATTTTTACGCTCCAGTGTGATTTTTAAGGGACGCAGGGGCGGATCCGGGATTTTTCTTGGGAGGGGGTGCACCAGTAAGGGATGGTGTAACTGACTGGTGAGGTAAACAAATTTTAAAAGCGTATACAAAGACGAAGGCTTGATCTCCCGGGGAGGGGGGAGTTGCGCACCCCCTGCACCCTCCCCCTAGATCCGCCTCTGCAGCCGATGCCGCCGTCTTTACCTCCATTTCCAAGCTTCTCTTAGAAAAACGTGAAAAATTTTGAAGGTCATCTGTGATTTCCAGTCCCTTGCATTTAGGTTAACTAACTGGAGCTTCTAGACAACCTAATACCATTAGAGTAACTGTTAGTAATCCAAAAGGATCCGTGGCTGCCTGGCACAGTCTAAATAGTTCAAAAGTTGTAAACAGTGATAAAAAAGTGCCAAAATAAACTCAATTATGTACCAGACGTTTCGGGCCTAGCCCTTTCTCAGAGCTAAGTTTTTCAATTAGAATCCATTAACCTGTGTGATAGACGTAGTGGCCTTACGGGTTGTTTACCGGTTTCCCGATCAAGTGGTCTGGGTTCGAGCTCTATCTGGAATCTTTGCGTTGTGCTCTTGGGCAAGACACTTAATCTTACAGTGCCTCACTCTAGTTAGGACAACTTGCCTGATGACAAAATGCTTAGGAAGAAACCCATTAGGAAGAAACCCATTAGGAAGAAATCATAATAGGCTGGAATATTCTTCGTCTATTACCAACTCTATAAGCAACCTTTTTGAAACATCTTTTGGTGCTTCTATAGAATAAGTACTAATCGAAAACTTCATGTTATTGTCTTGTAGTGTCCATCGTATCACAGAGCGCTCGCCCCAGGCGACCAGTTCCTGTTAAGGAGCTTGTAGAACACTGTGCTCGTTTCCATGACAACAACAACGCCTTATTTAACGACGAGTTTAGGGTAAGAAGATTTCGAGAAGGAAATATACATTAAAGATCAAACAAGACAACAACAAAAGATTGAATTTAAACAATATTATTTGGCCAATGAACACATTTAGAAGCGAGGATGACATAAAATGGTGATGATGATGATGATGATGATGATGATGATGATGAAAATGGCCAGGGTGGAAATAGAGCTTGAAATAACGAAGCTGGCGTTTTCAATTTTAACTTGTTTGATTGAAAACAGCGAGAAACTTTCTTCCTATTCTGTTATGTAATTTTGAGCTTACATCCAGTAGAACTACGATATGTTAACAGCGGCATAATTTCACTTCGTGTAACACGCTAGGATTCCTTGCAGTAATTCTCTAGCCGGTGTATAGCCGCCCCCTACCCTGAAAAAATCGGGAGAAGGGGCGGAGGGGGTGACTGTATACAGACTATAATTGTCAAGAGATCCTCAAGATGTTCAAAGGGAAAAGCTGATCATTGCAATTGTGTTTACAAATTTAAGCAATCGACGTGACGCCTAAAAAGATTTAGACCTTAAAAGGAACATCTGAACTCATGACCTTCTCACTATAACATCTGGCCTACCAGCTGACATATAGAGCTACACATGGGCCGAAAGTCAGCTTAGAGTTCACATGTTACCGCTGCCTCGTCCCCAGTCGCCCGCAAACAAAAATGAACATCGCGGCGGAGATCAATCCTCGTTCCAAGCTCCCTCGCACTTCGCGCTCGACCGACTCATTCCGCTAAGTAAAGCTGGTGGAGAAGGCAGCTGTTCCCATTCAAGGAATATAATAACAAGGTGTTTTTTCATACTGCTTAAACATATTATACACTATTTTTATTTTACTTTTCAGTGCCTTGATCTTCTCACCTGGAAATCGACTTGGGAAGCCAGTCAGGATGCGCATAACAGAAGCAAGAATCGCTATTGTAACATAGTGGCATGTAAGTTGAAAATGTTGTCCTTATACGGATATACCATTGCACTAGCTGTAAAATGTGAAACAATATTTCAATTTTTTTATTCCGTTTTCCTATGTGAATGTTTGCATCAGTTTTAAAATTAACAGTAGTGTAGTTAATTTTAAGTTTAGCTTCTTCGAGTAACATACTGCGTCCTGAATATAATCAAAAGAGTTTTATAATAAAGTTTCCATATAACGCGCGCTCTGATTGGCTGAAAGTGCGTGCTTTATCAGAGAACAGAGCACGGGTTGATGACGGTAAGTTGGCTTTCAAATTTTTGCGTCGGAATTTTGACAAATTTGCGCCAAATTAAACATCCCCTGTGATTCAGACAAACGCAGTGGAAACGAGCTAGTTGTCTGTAGTAAATATGGCTCACAGAGACCATTGTTAAAACTGTACTAAAATAACAAGTTTTGCTACATTCCCGCCGACAAAACACGTAACGAAATAAACAAATTCTCAACCTAAACAGTGCTTCGATAAAAGACATTATATTTGTTACGAAGGCAGAAATTAAACTTAAGAAGTAAAACAACGACAGAAAACAACAATTGAACTGTCTCTGTTTATGATGAGAAGCTTTATTTTTGTAAATTTACAATTAAAAATGCTCATTTGCTCAAACAACACTTACATGCAGTGTAGTAACACTCGTTCTCCGGTCATCTCAGCGGAGTGAACCGACGAATGCTCAGTGCAAAGCTTGCTCTGATATTCTCTTCTGTGCTCGGAGTAGAAGCAGTGGGAGCCGTTTAGTCTTTCTAACTTTTACGCTAGTTCGAGCAATCTTGCTGCATGCGGCTACAAGCCGTAAATAACTGTAGCTCCTTTCAAAATTAATTCAACATTTCTCCTTTCAAATTCGGCATTTCGCATTTTCATCCACAAGCTTTGAGCTCCGCGTTTCATAATTTCCACTGGAAAAGTGCGCGTTTCCATGGGCCACAATACGGCAGGATTCCTCTGGACTATAAACCTTCACCTGCCTTTAGATCCGTATTTAAAAACTCAGAACTTAAAAGCGAACTTCGAAGGCATCGTTCTTCTCTCAAAAGCCGCTCAAACTATTCAAAACTGAAAGCTTAGCCGAAGTCCAGTTTGTAATTGACAGCTGTCGCTTCCTTAGCCAATCAAGTTATTTGAACAATTCTAACAAGGTTTGTGATTGGCTTATTTTAGCGTGCTTTATCAGAGAACAGTGCACGTCTGACGCCACTTTTATTCGTTTGGAAAATAAAGTTTGGTTTGAAAATTCAGCCAAATGCATGGGGAAATTATTAGATTCTTTATCATAAAACAAAGAAAGAAGCCTCGACTGTGCTCTGTTCTGTTGTAAAGCACTTAGGAAGCGGTAGAGCACTCAAGAAGTGGGGAAAAACGCTCGACTTCGTCTCGTGTTTTCCCCTACACTTCTTTCGTGCTCTACCGCTTCCTGCGTGCTTTACAACAGAACAGAGCACGGTCGAGGCTTCTTTATTTGTTAAATAATACATCGAACAAGAGAGACAGTGTTTCACCACACTTCCAAATACCGATAAGTAAGATAGTTTGATCAGATAATTTATAAAACGTGGCAAATATTTTTCAACATTATTTTTGGACAAAACTCGACGTCATTTGGGAATGTGATGAAACGCTTTCTCGAGTGTTTTGTATTTTTCCTCTTTCGAAACTAGAACTAAGGAGAAAAGGAGAGATACTGTAAGATTTGATATCTAACTCTACATCGCGGTTATGATTCCCTTTGAGTTAATTATGAGCTTGACAAGTCTTGTTACTTAAAGCTACGTTTTTTGTTTTTGTATTTTTTTTTTCAGATGATCATAGTCGTGTTGTGCTCACAGGCAAAAGAGAGACTCCCGGGTCAGACTACATCAACGCTAATTATGTAGATGTAAGATTGTTATTTGCTGTATTGACGACGAGTTTCTAATTTCGAATTTATTATTGCATTGATTTAGATGATTGTAATTGTAACGGTGTTCTTCCCGAAAAATCCAGAGCGTTGAGTATATGTTGAGTATCTGTGTCCCAGAATATATTTAAGATACCAATGTAGAAAATGACAAAAAATTAAGGATCAAATTGATTGATTGACTGACTGACTGACTGAATGTCTGACTGACTGACTAACCGACTGTCCGACTGACTGACTGTCTGACTGACGGACTGACTGACTGACTGACTGACGGACTGACGGACTGACGGACTGAGTGACTCACGGACTAGCAGACTGACAGACTCGCGGACTGACTAAGTGGCTTACATAAGGTATAAGAATTTTCTTACCTAAATGGTAGTACTATTATAATTTACTGAAGTATAAAGTAATTTTAGTAATTGTAATTTACTTACTTTCAGGGATACAGTTTCCCAGCTAAGTACATCGCAACCCAAGGTATATCAAAAAGAAAGATATTTTGCTAATGATATTAATTTAACTAAGGGAGCCTTCATAGCCTTGGCAGTTAAACATTTCGAATGAGGACAATGTAGTCAGAGGGCGCATTTTGTCAATTCATCAACTTTTTCACTCTCTGAGTTCTTGAGTCAATTAGCGGTCCTCACTTTAAAGTCTTAGATAAAATCCTATGATGTAATTGTTCCAACGATAGTTACTTTATTATGATTTACAACGTCTAGCTAACAGTAGTTGGTAAAATTAATAGCGTGGTTTAACTTAAAAAAAATCCTATTCTCGTTCTCACGCTGTCCTCCTACAATTTGCTTTATTCTGCGAGTTTCTTTATAAAGAACCTTTTGATTTTCTCGGCTTTTATAGTACCAGTGACATGTTTTATTTGTAACTTTTTCTAGGTCCCTTGAAGGAAACAGTCAACGATTTCTGGCGGATGATTTGGGAAAAGAATGTTAAAACGATAGTTACGATTGAAATGCAGGGAAGAGACGTACGTTAATGGGAATTGTAACGCATCATGTAGTTATTTCCACCTTTTCTTCTAGGATCATAGGGCATTTAGTTTTAATAAGCAAACGTTTCAGACTCCAGGCCCGGGTTGTTCAAAAGGTGGATAACGCTATCCACCGGATAAATCACTATCCAGCGGATAGCATGGTTTGTTTGTCAACACTTATCCACTGGATCGCGATTTATCCGGTGGATAGCGTTTTCTAGCCTTCGAACAACTGAGGGCAGTTCTTCAGTCAAGGTGCAATGGAACTTCATTAGTTAATAGACCGTATTCATAAATGGCGGCTAATTTAAATTGTTTTTGGATGCATTTAAATTAGCCCAACTAATCTCGTTTGAGAGTAAAAGTTCTTTTGAATTACCAACTCAAAAACGAGGTTAGCTGGGCTAATTTTAATACTATTAAAGAATTTTTAATTGGCAGACATCTATGAATAGGGTCTATAAAGACTTCATGTGGGACACAAAGTGCCTGCGTTTATTTCAAGTATATCTTACTTATAAATCATTAAAGCTTTAGTGGCCAAACTTCGTGCCGTCTCCTAAGAATTAACAGGGAACATCTTGTTGTGTCAATTTCTTGGTCATGTGACTTGAAGTTTCTAAGGCAACAAAGGTTACAAAATGGGATTGGACTATTGTACTATTGAGTGAATACTTTGGAGACATATGTTTACAAAGAAAACAGGCAAATGGCAACGTTAGAAACTTAAGTGAGGTATCTTTGTTATCACATTGAATTGGTGAACTGTTTTGTGAACGTGAGAATGACGATTTGTTCAAAAACAGGAAGATGCAGCGAGCGAGAAGTACTGGCACGAGTCAGAACCGACAGCGTACGGTCACGTGGTTGTATCAGTGCTTAGTAGCATGCTTATGACTGATTGGACTACCAGGGAATTTATTATTTGGGTGAGTTAAACATTACAGTTGGTTATCTTAAAACGTTATGTGAAGTTTTACTACACGAAGATTCAGTAGACCACTCCACTAAATGCGACCACTACTTTTGTACGGAAACTTTTTTGGACCTAACAACAAAACTTCTATTTGGCATAAAAGAATGTGAGGGGTTCGACTCTCTTCTACTGTAATTCCCTGCAGACATATCTCATAAGGGAATTGGCCTTTTGATCTTGATTCTCAAAAACTTTGTTGCGAGTTCATAACAGCTCTTCCATCAAGGTAAATAAAAGTTACATTTACATTTTTTACGTACTGAAGTCAACAGATCCCAATAACATGGATAAACGAGAGGTCACTCAGTATCACTTCAGCTCATGGCCTGATCACTGTGTCCCGCGGGACACTGCAGCGTTCTTGATGTTTCATCACAAGTTGAAGGCAACTCTGGTTATTGATCCTGGACCCGTTGTCGTTCATTGCAGGTCAGTGGTCATCCCTAAACGGGACGGTACATCACGTAAATTCATGTCAGTAAGGGTGTTTGGCGTTCGCGAGCTAATCTTGGGCCTGCCAATTTTTTGCTTTAGAGAAAAAAAACGTCTTTCAAGCCACTCCTCTTTTTCAAATCAATACATTCAAACCTCGCTTTGAGGCCGAGTAAAGAGGGAAAAATTATCGCGCAGCATGTTAAGCAACAATGTTGCAATGCAAGTTGGAAGGTAATACTGTGCGTAGTACCACCAGTGTTGCAAGTTGCGGCAATATGTTGCACAAAGAAAGACTCGTGGCTACTTCGTGCAACATGTTGTAACTTGGACCGTAACACGCTTCGTAACACGTTTCAACTTGCAACGCAACATTGCAGCACGACAAGTTCCAATAAAATTTCACATTTAACGCTGAATCGGACACCTAACCTAGCCTCAGCTTGTCTAGTTTTCTTACTATTAAGAGTAGTTTTTTTGGCCTAATTAAGTGAATTGTTTTTATGCTGTTTATTTTTCCTTTCGTCAATCTGGCAAAATAAGATAGTCGGTTGTTGTTGTCAAAGTTTGGGTCCCTAACTCGTCGACCTTTTTTTTTTTTCAAACTATGCCTTCATACGGACATCTTGTTAAATACAGACACTTTCTTTGACCTCTTTGGTGTCGGCATGAATGTGGTTCGGGTGTACGTACTTGATTTTTTGTGTTCTTTCAATAAGAGAAGCCGCTGTTTCAAATTTTTCTTAGTGCCGGTGTTGGACGAACGGGCTGCTTTATTGCAATTGACTCGCTCATGGAGCAAATGGAAACTGAGAGGGTAGTAGACGTGTATGGATTTGTGGCACAAATGAGGAAACAGAGAAACTACATGGTTCAAACAGAGGTGAGTTCCCGGGGTGAGTTATGAAGTAGTGTAGCAGCTCTCGTAAGCTTGTAATTCTATTTGTCGTCATTGCAGCGGCTGTTATTGTTTTGGGGCTAGGGGGGGAGAAGCATTGTTCCTGTTGTTTCTTCCATTGTCCTCTCAAAGGGTTTCAAGTCATTCATGTGAGACCTTACAAGAGATGCAAGATGACCCAGTTATGTAAATACGCACTGGATATCTCTCAATCTTCTAAGCGAGGAGGTACCGAGACTCTGGTCTCTGGGGCTTTTTTTACACGGACTTTTATTCTCCGTCTAACTTCTACATCTACTTCTTCTTCTGAAGGTGCTACCACTATTAGAGTACTACAACGTCACTAACAAATGTACCTGCACTTAAATATCCTATCGGTAGCCATGTGTAGGCCGCATGAGACGAACTGACCTTGGAGGATTAAACGTCTTTTTAGAATACTTACCCAAACACTACCACACGACTTCCAGAAGCAAACTACACAGTTCTTGAAACAACCAATAGAAAACTAAAGTTTAGAGAACAAGTAACTTAAACAGGATCTTTGTGGGAGATTCAGACCAAGGCCAGTAGACGAACCCAAACATGACCATCGATGGGGTTTTGTTCGGAGCTTAACTAAGATAAACAACTTGAAGCCATAAGACTCACTGTGTGGGCAGTCGGCCCAAGAATCACAAGACTAACCGTGATAACTACAAAATAATAACAATTGGTGATCACCGACTAAAAATTCTAAATTCTATACAGGTTTTTGAGCTTTGTAACATACGTAGTCAGTATTTAATGTTAAGAAATCCGTGACAATAATTTGTCCTATTCTTCTCTCCTTATAAGAAAAACTGCTTTATCTATGACGCTCAACCTCGGATATAAACGACTATTTTCGTTTGGCGCAAAAATATTCGCAAGTGACAGTCCACGAACATTATTTGTCGCGAAAAGCGTTTTTTCCCCTTTGTAAGACTGTATAGAAACGGGTAATGTAAATAATTAGGAACAGACAATCTCTAAGGGCAGAGGATCAGAGAAGATTTCGAAATAAAATTTTACGCTATTGTGTTTATTATCTTTCATAAGGCCTCTTTCTCTTGAACCGTTCACAATCTTTGAAGGAAGTACCGTTTGGATTTCGTTTCACGATTGATCCCACATATGATGTGAGGTTCAGTCGCGCTGGATTTTAACACATCTTCTAACAGAGAGCTTGGTCATACCCCATGTTATTTCCTATCTAACATGACGTCACTTGACACGTTTCCTTTTTAGGAGCAATATCGATTTATCTATGACGTTCTTAGAGACGCATGTGTTTGTGGTGAGACTACGATCCCGTCAAGTGAACTGGTCAGCGTGTTGCTAGGCGTTACTGGGGATGAGCCGGAAGTCGTCGCTCAAAGAGCAAATGAGTTTGAGGTGACAGTGATATTTCTTAAAGGAGCTCAGTCACGACATTCTGAGTTATTTTGGCCACATACAAAATTACATTTAAATTGAAGGAAATCTGAAAATGATAGTTCACTAAGATAGAAAAACACCAGAGATAATGATCAACCATAAAGGAACAAGGATGGCTAAGGATGGAGAAGATTAACACGGATTACAAACAACCAACTTGAAAAATTTAGGCTAAACTTTTCAAGATGCGTAAGCCGTGACGAAACTCCTTTAAGCCGACATTCCAAGGACTAAACTTCGACTGATATAAGATTCACTTCACTTTTGCCAGTTACGGCTTGTATAATGTCTAGTTTGTGACCGTATGTCAGTAGTTCGTCATTTGTTTCTCTTTCTTTCCACAGAATCTTCAAGACTATTCTACCAACCCAGCCCTCTTCAGAGAAGCATTAGTTCGAGAAAACGTTGTGAAAAACCGATGTCCAGAGATATTGCCATGTAAGCAACAGATATAACAATGTTTTTATTGTCACCCTCGATACGCTCGTTATTTTTTATAAGAATATTGTTCGTCTGGCCGAGGCTGAGTATTCTTATTCTTCTGTCAATTTTAGGCTGAAAATATTCTTGTAAATATTCGTAGATTATAGCGTATGACATTTCTGTTTTCGAATGTATTTGTTGTATGGATGGTGTTGAAGTAATTTTGGAGCCCGCCTGCGGGCCTTTAAGCCTGAAATGATGCACATGACTTCTTGCAAAAATGTTATTGGAATCGCACATACGGCTAGTGCTGTTTTTGTTGCTTCTTGGCCAGTTTTGCCGTTTAGCGAAAGGAGAAATTTTATACGGTTTAGTTAAAAACATATCTGACTGGATTCGCAAAAATATAGCCACAGAATTTGACTTGTCACTGATAATCTTGACACAATTCTGTCCTAGAGCTAGCTTTCCACAAGGCTTATCATATCAAAACCGCGGCGGAGAGCTGATCTATAGCTTTCTAAAACCTGCATCGTCCTAAATGGACTGAACAAGAGCTTCCTACATCGAGAATCGATTGAACTTCAAACAAACTAGGCCATAATTATGGGTTAGCGAACACTCATTATGTTGTCGTTACGTCAATTATCGCCAGCAAATAAATTTCTTCCAAGCTAGCGAATCACAGACAGTTCTGATAGTTAGCTATGTCGAGAACGCCTAAAATTGATAAAACAAGGAAACTCTACATACGATCAGCGCTTGACCTAATGTTCTTCACTCCGTTCGTGGCCATGTTTTGCTCATAAATAGCAATGTCCCAGATGTACTTGAATTTTGTCGAGCGGGAAATGCCATATCCAGACTTCAACAGATTCTAGAAATGTCTAGTCCATTGCACCTCTAAGCCCTAAATTGATGGGCTAAAGTTCTTTGTTGTCTAAAGCAAGCATAACATTATCGCCGCAGTGCAAACGGCCTAATATTACTGGGCTAAATGACGTCCCGTTTTAGTACATCTCCGGGCCCTTTCATGTATGATAATGGACGACGCTTGCTAGCAAATCGTTAGACTTGAACCTTCATTGGATCTAATGATGTCCTCGGGCAGGAAAATCACAAGCTAAAGGAATGGAGGGGTTCAAAAAAAATCTCAGCCTTAAATCTCAACCTCGGGTTTATTCTTAAAATATTTTTAAAATTTCGCAAACTTCAGTCTCGATATTCTAACAAAACATATTCTTATAAAGAATGTAAAAAAAGTCTGACTTTCTTCCTTTCTTCCTTTATTTTTGTTTATATTCTTGTCTTGTCTTCACACTCTTTATTGCTGCAATGGCGGCAGATAAGATTTGCGGATCTGCAGCTCCCAATGCCAACAGGAAAAAGAAAGCGGATATTACGCTCTTTCTTTGATGAAAGTTCCCTTTTTACCCCGCACAAGTGTACATCGACAGCAGGAAAAAAGCTACAAACTAGTACTTTTGTTTTTGGTATTCAACGCTGAGTGGGTTAAGCGATCTATATATAAAGGCTCGAAAATCAGGCCGCTGGCGGCCTTAACAAAACCGAAAAGCATTCACAAAGGGAACGTAGCTATCAACTGAAAAAAGACTCAGTTCTGCATGAAGAAAGGCAGAGGACACTGTTTCAAGTAATTTTCTATAAAAGAACTAAAATGATCTAAGTTTCCTGCCGGTCATCTCTTTATCTTATGAGATTTGACTTACTTTTCTTCAAGTTAATCACAACAGAGTTTGTCTAAAGACGACCGGAGACGAAGCTTGTTCAGATTACATCAACGCCAGCTTTATTGATGTGAGTTTTTAACAGTTTATATCTACTATTGTGTTTTTATTGGGTCATTTTTGATAGAGGGATTTAATCTGGAAGGTTTGGTTTAGTGTTGACGTCCCCCTGTTAATTCACGAATATGAGACGCTGACCTGGGGGGGAGGGGTACTCATTATAATGGCCTGTACGGGGATGCTCCGCCCAAAAGGGGCACCTTTTCTATCAAAATGGTATATAAAAGGGCAAGCTGGAGTCTGGCCTCGGGGCGGAGCTCTTCCCGTATAAAACTTTGTAGAGTACCCCCCGGAGGGGCGTTGATGTCCACTTAACAGCTAGTATGTTATTGCCTTGCTGTTTTGTCTTGGGTCAGACGGGAACCTTTCTCCCCCTAGCTGTAAAGATGGGTGCTTGCGAACTTTTAGGGAAAATGGGGGAAATGCTTGGCGGAGGGAGGAGGGAGAAAAGGGGAGCGGAGAGACCCATCCCGTTCCCAAGGGTTGTTCTGGGAAATTAGAAATTTTCGATTTCTTTGGATATTGATTGGAAACCTGCTCGACTGAACAGCTTGTAGTCCCGCGTTTGCGCTTTGAGGTCGCAGTGTGACAGATTAATTGACCCGACCTTGTTTTTATTTCTTTTTTAGAGTTACAACGAAGGCAGTTCCTACATCGCCACTCAGGGGCCAATGGCAAGCACTGTGAACGACTTTTGGCGCATGGTGTGGGAACAGCGGTCAACCATAGTGGTCATGCTCACTGATCTCCAAGAAAATGGGGCGGTAATGCCAGTGTAACACACTGATGACTTTTTTTTGTCGAGTACAAATAATTAATTTTCCTTTTCTCGGACTTTTTTTACCCAACCAAAATAGAGCTTGAAATAGCTTACATTGAGCTTCTTGGTGTAAAAATAAATGAGTCTGGCAATTTCCTTGTAAAATGATTTCATTTCTGAGAGCTTCTCCAGGCCTTATTTTCATTAAAATTTTTCCTTTCTGCTGTTAGGAACAAAGTGTTCGGTACTGGCCGGAAGAAGGTTGTGCCAAATATGGAAAACTTCGGGTGACGAAGATTGACGAGGAGATTCTCGAAGACCACACCCAAAGAGTCTTTAAACTAAGGCGTCATGGGGTGAGTCGGTTGATGTAATTACGCCATATTTTTTTGGAAAACGATAGATTATTTTACAGTTCCTAGTAGAGGCATCTACTGTACTCTGTAAGAGGTCTGACTACTGTACTGTATAGACGATCTTTAAAAAAGATGATTTGCTGCGATAGAATTAGAACGTGATTGGAGATGAAACATGCCTTAACGCCTTAACCCCCTCTTATGTCTCTCGGTATTTCTAAGTGATATGAATCATATTTCTGCATAGGTTTCAAATGTTGTTTGCGGCAATCATACACCTACACGTGTAGGTTGGTCACTATAATTATTTGAAGATATATAATGAGATGAATAATGTCTTAAAGCATCATCGTTGTCAAAATCCAGTGAATTTCAATGTGCTGTTCCGTATTTTTTATGGAGGACATTTGTTTTCTAGATGCAGTTTTGTGTCATTTGCTTTTCTTGACCACGGAGACGTAGACGAATCAAGTACAAGTATTTCTTTCTTTGGCTAATCTATCAATGCTTATGTTTTCTTTCTTTCACAGAGTGACGAAAGTCTTGTACTGTACCACTTTCAATGCCACGGCTGGAAGGAGAATGGGCTGACTCGGGCCGAGAGCCTTGTATACCTTCAACAGCAGGTTCACAAGGTGGAGCCTGGGGAGCACAGGGGACCAATCATAGTGCACTGCAGGTATCGCAGTAATATCGAACCCAGTCTTCTAGTAACTGATTCTCATTGGTCAGTAAGTCCACGATCTGTAAGGTGGGCTGCAAAACTGAAAACTACACCTCTCAGGTCTTGGGCTTGTCAAACAATCGTTACTCCCCACGAAGACGGAAAGATTGAGGAACGTATCTAATTAGCGTCTTCGTAGGAGACTAGCTGCAAATCGACCAGTCTGTCTGACGGCCTAAAATCACTCTACTTTCCACTCAGAACTTACTTCCTTTCAAATTGATTTAAAGTTAATTGAATAGAGGCTCTATATTGAAGTGTCATTGCTTAGTCGTAACTTGGAAATTAAAAGCGCAAAGGATTCTCGGTTGGTTCTTTGTAGCCAACGTTTGCTTCCTAAGAAACAGATATACAAAACACAGGAGGCCTTTTCTTTAAACAAACTGATTTAATGATCATTCAAAAGATGTAGATAACGGCAGAAAAACTACATGCGGGTTCGATGCTGGGGTCTGTGGTAACGATCGAGTATGCGTGTCTAGGGAGATTACAAGGCCTTTTCCCAGTTAATAGAAAGGGGAAAATGATGTCGATGATGTTGTTGATGATGATGACGACGACGACTAAAGCATCTATTAGAATGTTCAGATTAATGTTTTCGCTGTTATTTTGTCATTGTAGCAATGGTGATGGCCGCACAGGAGTGTTTCTGAGCCTGTGTTTGAGTATCGAGAGACTGGATACTGAGGATACTGTAGACATATTCCAAACTGTCAGGTGGCTTAGATCACAGAGAGCTGGACTGGTGTCTAACGCGGTTAGTAGATTGGGTCTAAAAATGTAATCTTAATGTATATCACGTGACCGACAACTAAAAGGTGCAAAACACTTTTTTCTCCACACTAAGAGCTCGATGTTACTCACAATATTGATTTTGTGAAAGTGATATACCTCTTAATATTACCTTATATGATGGCTATATGTCGTTAAGATAAAACACGCGCTGTGATTGGCCGGACTTTCACGCAATAGCCACGGACATAATGATGTGAATGTCCGGTTGGGTGGTCAAGAACCGATAGCAAAATGAGCAGCATAAAAGCCCCACTACCCAGGGACTATAGAATCTTGCCTTCGGTTGTTCTTGTAATGACCGAGCTTCGCGAAGTACTTACTGGAAAAACCTCGGACGATATTTACCTGTAAGGCATAACAAAACTGAGTATTTTCTCTTTGTGAAGGATCAGTACAACTTCTGTTATGAGCTTATAAAGAGCTACATGGCCTGGAGGACCAGAGCAACCATCAAGAATGTCTATAGCTATGTCTAAAAACGGTCAGCTACCAAAGAGACGGATCAGTCATATGAGAGGACTAACTTATCTGAGTTTACTCAGTGTTATACACTGACTATACCATTAACATAGCTTAACAATATAGAGCGTAAGGTCAGGAAACGTTGGAATATTGCGCATGATGTTGCAAGCAACGACTGAAATCAACCTCGGTTTATTTTCCCTAGAAACTTGATAGCCCCGTCAGCAAAATTGCGCACAGTATTTCAGTGTTTATTGCAGACAATATTGGGTAATGTTACAACGTGTGCCTTTAGATAGACTACGAGTAGTCCCTCTTTCGCTTAGTCCGTCGAACGAGACCGTAAATAAACCGCGAGTAAAAAGTGGTCGCGTGAAATCCTGCTTCTCGCGCCAGGGATTTCGCGCGACCATTTGTTTTTTTCGCAGATTTCCTTCGCGTCACGCACGACGGACTAAGCGAAAGAGGGACTACTCGTAGTCTAGCCTTTGAGAAGACTTATCAATATCACTGCACAGCTAAACGAATTGAGGACGACATGTCCCAAGAGTAAACCGTTTCAGATTATATCATATTTTATTAAAGTAAGTAAACGCAACGTAACTTGGAACAATTGTGGCATATTTTATTTCCATAGTGACGAATTTAGTTCCTGGTTAAAACAGACAGTAGGTTTCCTTTATCAGTTCTGTTTAAGTTATATAAGATAATTTATTTTGGGCGAGCGGTTGTTTATTTTAACTTATGCAGTGCTTACCTCAGCAAACACCATCCACGTTTAAAAAGATGATTAAAATAATTCATAGCAATAAGATATTCGATAAGAAGTTCACCTACATCAGACGTAGAGATTCACATACTGTGAAGAGAAAACACTCGTTCGTTTCTATAGCACATAAGTTTAAGAGCAAATTGCATTAGAATGTATTCCTAGATAGGTACCGAAGAAGTCTCCGTTTTTTGTTTGGCCAGGCGTTCAAAGTGCTTAAGATATATCGCACTGCTGATTCATACGAGAGCTGGTTTATTCACTCAAAACAAAACAACGCTACTAATTTATGAAGGGGGGTCTTAATAAGGAACAGTGTTCATAGAAGCTTAATGACTACTATTTGGAGTTTAAAACTTTCCAAACAGAGTCATAGAAACTGTTATAGCACTTATAGGCTACTTTAGTCAGTTGTATTTGTTATAAATTTATATTAGTTTCATTGTTGATTTTGAATTCACCGTCGATCAGATAGGTCAAACTGAACTGATTATTGTTTTTATTTTTCCTATACGGGAGATCCAGTTTTAGCATCACATTTGAAGCTTACAGTCAAAACATGTTGCAAATTTTCCATTTGTACAATCTGCTATGCAGGTCTATGCCATTCAAAATCGACTCTAAATTCCTTTCCGTGAATTTTCAATGTGGTCTCCACACCGAATACTGGCAGCCTCAAATGGATTTCTTGTAAATATTTTACCATGGTCTCAGAGGTTTCTTTCTTCTTTCTGCTACTTAAAGGAGCTTCGTCACGGTTTGCGCTTGTTACAAAGTATAGCCGAAGCTCTTCGTTTGTAATCCGTGTCAATCTTCTTCATCCTAAGCCAGCCTTGTTCCCTTATGGTTTATTATTATCTCTTTGGTGTTTTTCTATCTTAGTAAACTACTATTTTCAGGTTCCCTTCAATTTAAGGGTAATTTTCTACGTGGCCAAAATAACTCAAGATGCCGTGTCTGAGCTCCTTTAGTGAAAAATCCGTCCTAGAGGTCAAATCAGGCGAGCGTAGAAACGTTTTCTTGTTTTGGACTGCTCACGTTAGTAAAACCTGTGACAGTCAAGCTTTAACGCACGGGTCCGTCACAGATCTGACTACACTTTTCTTTTTTAAAAAATAAGAATGTTTATTTTTTATGCCTAGACTGGATATTCTTATTTTTCTGCCGAAATTAGGCTGAAAATTTTCTTGTGTACATTCTTAGATCAATTAGATTACTGAGTATGGTACATGTTTGTGACCTGGAATTGAACTATCAAATACGACTGTATGGTGTCTGTACCGTGTTATAATGCGTTCATGCTTTATCGCTTTACCTTATACGTAGTTTTTATCTTTTTTTTGGCGCATTACGTCAAAAATAGGAAAGAATTTACTACACTTTTCAATGGTAAAATAAAGTTCATTTTAAACATTATTACTGTGACTTTTATTTATTGTATTTCATTTTCCATTAATTTAACACCTGCGGTAAAAAAAGAAAAAGGTTTCTAACAAAATATCTGCCTTTGGGTATATTCTTATAATTAAAGAAATAAAAAAAGATTCTTTTTATATATATATAAAAATAAACGCGAAAAAAGCGTATACCATCACGGCTTTGGCTATAAATTGTCTCAAATGTGTAAGTATCTGTCCTCGTTGTTATAATACATATGACCGAACCTTTAACAACATCATATGTTGATCTGTCACGGGCACGCCGCGAATCCGTCACGGGGCCATCACGAAGCCATCACGGACAGGACCGTCAACTCTTTCACCCATTGATGGTCACGGGTACTTGGACGTCACGGGTACTTGGACGTCACGGGTTGGGTCTTATCAACCTCTGGTATGACGACAGTTCATCATTTCCCTCCTTTTGAATGCTGATGGAAAGTTTATCCGGGTGAGCGTTTTAAAAACTTTGAAAATTGCAAATCCTCCAGTTGTAGGTACTATTCCCTTGACCAATCGCTTCTCAGAGGATCACGCAAGTGGGTACATAACGTCTAACGTGACAGAAACCCATGATGGTTTGAGCCCAGGTCCTGCGCAGTCAAGCGCACTGGGATCGTCCAAAATGGCGGGACAGATTCGAGTGCTTCAACTCGATGCAGAACAAGAACTAGAAACCAAATTATACAGACTCGAAAAAGGTAAGGTTCTTTTACTTGAACAACCCAAAGTACTAGTACAAGTATCAGAATTAGACATAAGTTTACCATTTCCCCCTTAAAATTAAGCGACAGTACAACTGCAGAAAGTAGAAGCTAATCTCAGCTGTCAACTTTGATTTGATTCCCGAATGTTATTGTTTGTGTATTGAATAACGAGTTCCCAAAATAGAGTCCAATAGCACAGTTGACAAAAGGAGAAGCAACACTTTCGTATATTAAGCAGTCGTATTCTAGACACAGATATAAAATTTCATGTTTTCTTGATGCCGGGTAAAGTCGAGTGTTTTTGCCCAATTGCAATACATTGTTATACACCAGTGAACAAAGTCAGGCATAATTGTGGGGGTGTTACTGATTAATTTTATGCATAAGCTGTGCGATAATTTTGCAAAACATTTTAGGTAAAATTGAGGGAAGTGTTAGTATTTAAACTCCTGAAATATGTTGTTACGTCCTAATGACAGAGTTTACAAACAGAAAGCTTATTGCCATTGTCCTGACGTTTAGATTTTATAAACACAGTAGCCAATATTGATTCCCTTTCCCTTATTCATGCGGATCTCTTTAGTTACACGCGGTGTAGTTATAAATACAATACATAATTTTATTAATTCCTCCCAACTAGGCTTTTCAGAATTAATTTACATATTATCAAGAAGAGATTAAATTAAATGATGTGCTGAAATTACATAAATGTTTAGTAATGAAATAACAAGCATGATACATATACTTATGCTAACAATAATAACCCTGAACATTGTAATTAAACACAATTACTACATTTACACCTCCCTTTTTACCTTCCTCTTGAATTCGCTAAGTGATTTTGTAGGATTTCTGGCGTGGGTTGTTCGAAAGGTGGATAATGCTATCCACTGGATAAATCACTATCCAGTGGATAGCGTGGTTTGTTTTTTTAACATTTATCCACTGGATAGTGATTTATCTGGTGGATAGCATTATCCACCTTTCGAACAACTGGGGCCTAGTTGTTTAGGCTCATACATCTTACTAGATGTTTTGGTTTGTAGTATCACTGTATATTTTTACAAGTTGTGTTGTATTTTGACAAGCCCGTATGGCATCTCCTCTGCTTCACAAAGGTTCAAATAATTTAGCTCCCTTTCCTTCTGGAGAAAGAGAAGCCATATATTACCATTGGGGGGAGAGGAACAGGCGTTGAAATGTCTTTTCTCCATTATATTTTTATGCACTTCATTTCTCTCTCCTCTTTTTTTATTTGGCCATTTCTCCTTCCTCCATGTACCGTTCCTCTATCCTCATCCTCTTAAGGGTGTCTCTTAGTAAGAATGAATTGTTCTCCTTTACATAGATATGACTTTGTTGGTCAAGATATAACTTACACTCTTATAGCAATACTTAGAACCAGTTAAATAAATTGAGTATCAGGAAATTGCTAGGGTAGCCTGGGCTAGGTTGTCCAAAAGCCAGTTAGTGCTAACCTAGGATTAAAAGTTGACCAAAGTATTAGTTTTCCTTGTGTTAAAATGTTTTTCACTGCTTACAATATTATTTTGTAGTTTGAGATTATTCAAACTCAAAACTAAAGAGCAAAATAATAGAAAACCTTACCAAATAGTATAAAACTGAAATAAAAATTCTCTCAAATCATGGGTTAGCTTAAATGAATTTTCGACAACACAACCCTAGGAGGTAACAATAAAGATATTAATATGATCTATGAGCCTACATGAAGACATAGAGTACAACTTTACTCAGAGGTAAACTGTTATACAAACACAAGATTAAGAGCTAGTCCCCAGTCCCCTAGGGCTTGAATGTGCATAAACTGTAATGGTTTCATCCACTGAAAAGGAAAAGGGGCAAAAACCCTACTTGACACTTAAGTTCTATAAGTAGGGCTGTCATTAAGTTTTGCGTCGACTGCAGCCTTGATCTTCTCGTGCGTAACAAACTTGTTACCTTTTGAGTGAATTGTATTAACTATATATAGGCAAGTTCACCCTTAACATCAAGGGTCCATCAAACATACTCAGCTGTAGCAGGTGTTACGGGTTACGGCCCTTATTGACAGCCCTGGATAGGCCATTAAATATGTCCTCTCCTGGATTACCCTACTTACATACTCGCTGTATGTCTTTAAAGCTATGCATTATGATCGTTGGTACCTGTTGATCTTATGGAAGTCTAATAGGATCCTTCTCGTGATCCTCAAAAACTCTGTAGGATCTTGCAAAGATCTTGTGAACAGGTCCTCTTAAATCCTTGCTGCAAAGATCCTTCAGGATCATGCAAGATCCTTCAAGCTGTGTAAAGTGCAAGATCCTTCAAGCTGTGTAAAGTCCATTAAGAATCTTCGCAGCGTTTTGAGGACATATGCAGAGACCTGATGATCTTTGCAGAGAGAATAGGGATCCTATAGGATTTTTGCAGAATCCAATTTGCGTTGAGCCCTAGTAAGTTTCCATTCATATTTAGGAACCAATAGAATCATACAGTCAAGATCCTTTGTAGGATCTTATAGTAGTTACGTTTGTAAATGTCCTCATTTCTATTCCATCTTTGATCATCCTTGGCCCTTTATGGTTTATATTATTATCTCTTTGATGTTTGTCTATCTTTAATTTAGTGAACTAGTATCTTCGGTTTTACTTCAATTTAAAGGTAATGGCCAAAATAACTCAAAATATAATCTGTTCATCATGATAACTCAATGTTGTTTTGCATAGGATGGACACTGCGCTTCACCCTGGGCCCCTCATTACAACCTTACAAAGTGCACTTATTTTGCAACCATCCACTGTCTGGGCAACCATTTGATAGGAACACGTACAATGAGTTGAAGTGGACATGTCTTCCTGGGCAGCAGTGTGATGATGCTGACAGATTTGCTGACATCAAAGCACACAGGGCTGGATCATTTCATTTCTATGTTACTTACAAAGATGGTGGACAGCTAGAAACAGAGTAAGCATGTTAATCTTCTCCTTACATGTTTGCAGCTGCTTAGTGCCTTTTTTCCTAACCTTGACCCATTACATTATGTAACTTGAGGTGGGTGGTTAACCACTAACAAATATTGTGTGCAATGAAGAGAGTGTATCCTAAGATTGTGGGTGCAGAGCTATTCATGTAAATGAGCCATTGATACAGAACTGTGTACAGGTATTCTATTTCCCTTCCAAAATTCATCCGTGAGAACTGGTAGAAAGCAACTTCATTTAACAGCATTGCTTATCTGCATACTTATTGCACTGAACAGTCAAATCAAGTTATCCATTGTGCTAAATAATGCAATGAACACTGGTTCTGCATTGCTTTTTGTACACTCTCAAATGTAACCATTTGAAACTACACTGTACATTGTATTTTGAAGGTATTTTAAATTGTAGTGCCATTTGCTCCGTGTATCTGACCTTTTTATTTAAAATAATTACTGCTAGTTGTGGTTATTGCAATACCTACATGTACCATAAATCCTTGAATCGGGACACTTATTTCAAATTTAGGAGAAGACGGGGGGGTGCTTATTTGAGGGGGGCGCATATTTAATTTTTCCCAAATCGTGGCCTGACATGGTCATTTTTTCAATACATCACGTAAACACCAACATAAGCTGTTTATTGACAAAAAAAGCTGATCCTAAAGTTTAAATCGTGGCACCATTAGTACTTAACCTGTTCAATTTGTTCACTAAACATGTTCACAAAATGAAACAATGTACAAATCTAATACTACATGACGAAAACTATACATTCTTTGTTGTCTCATTACTTGTCTACAAAATGGGAGGGAGGAGAGGGGGTTGCTTATTCGAGGGGGACGCTTATTTTAAATTTCGGCCGATAGGAGGGGCACTTATTTGAAGGGAGGCAGTAATTCGAAGATTTATGGTATGTCAAGTTCCATAGTTGACTTTATTCATAAATTCTGCAGCTCAGGTTCATCGTTTGGCTCTATAGGACAGCATGCTGTCTTGAGATTTATGTGACACAGTCATGAAAATATTATTGCTTGCTTCCAGAAGAGGCTGATATGGCCAATAGTGTTTTAATAATATTTGTTTTAAGTTATGATTTTGTTGTAATTTAGAGAGAAAAGAACAACGTCAGGTTATTTCACAGTGGATCCAGTTCTTAGAGTAAACAAAAAAGAGACTATACCACTGGAGTGTGTGAGCTTACAGACTGTGTTGTCCAAGAGTCTTGGACCCCTCACTGAATGGAGTGATCGACTTAAGGTTAGTGTTTCATGTAGCACTGCTACAATATGGTTATTTTAGTATAAATCTACTAGCGTTTTATCATAAATGCCATTCTTTGATTGGGTATGCTAATCACTATCTATTCTGTTGTAGATAGTGAGCAGCCTAGCAATGTGTACTGACAGCTACTTCTTTGCGTTTTTAATGTGTCTGTGAAGACTGTCTATTCCAGATTTCCTAACTTACACTGTATGTCCTTTTATGTTTGGACTGCATGTAGAGTATCATACAGTACTTACATGTAGATGTACATGTAGTTCACCGTTGTTCACAACTTGAGCCCCCATTGTGTCCCAGAGTTCTTCATTTTGCTTAATAATTTGAGATAATATAATGTCTATGAATAAAACTTTAAGTATTAATACTGTGACTTTTTGGATTTTTTAGGTGACCAAAGAAACTGGATACAACATGATTCACTTTACACCAATACAGGTACTTGGGAAGTCCAACTCTTCATATTCCCTTGCAGATCAGCTAAACATCAATCCTTCATTTCATTCACCTGGTGGAAAGCAGAAGGCTTCATTTGATGGAATAAAGGTATGAACAAAGTATTATGGATACTGAAGTTAGTTTTTAGGTTTAGTAGTAGTATTACTAGAGACTTTATTTTATGAGGGTGACACTTAATAACTAATAAAAGCTAACAAACACGTGGTCCTCCAAGTTTCAGTTGTTCATCAATTAAGAATTTCTTTGATTTCATTGGTCAGTTTAAAAATATAGTGAGGGGCAACAATATACACCCCTGTCAAGTTTGATTATGTTGCGAACACTAATTTTGAACCTGTCATTTCATATGGCTCAGTATACAAAATTTTCACGACATCAAAGTTTTGCCTTTTAGCAATATTTTGACAATTTGCAAAAAATTATTTCATGACAAAAAAAGTAGATACGATTTATTTTTGAAGGAAAATCTCCAAATTTATTTTGTTTTGAGAAAATAAATTGTCATTATGAAATATAGCACTTCCAAAATCATAATATTATGTTTCTGCAAGAATACCAAGTAGTAACTAAAGGTAATTATCTTGTAAACCTGTTAGGAACTCCTTGACAAGATACGGGACGAGTGGAAGGTATTGTCAGTGGTAGACGTGGTACTGAACCACACAGCAAACAATTCTCCTTGGCTGTGGGATCACCCAGAATGTGCTTACAACTTGGAGAACTCTCCTCATCTCAAACCGGCATTTTTAATGGATCGTGCTCTCTGGCACTTCTCTTGTCAAGTGGCTGATGGGTCATGGGCAAGGGATGGTCTGCCAGCAGAAGTGAACAATGAACACCATATTCACAGACTGGGTGAAATCTTAAGGTGAGTCAACAGACAGTAAGAAGAGAGCCTAAGCAATGGCGACGAGGAACCTGAGGACAATGCAAATTTTGCAGTTCAGTGCGTCTATTGGTCTCGGAGCTTGCTCAAGCTAAATTTTAATGTGTAATGCCAGCATTCAATTCCAAATGAATGTACAAAAAACTGGCTGCAGTCCTTTGCATTCTCCAAAATATGCAGAACTTAGTCATTTCACATTGTTTTGGAGAGGATGGTAAAATACAAAGATTTATAATGCACAGCACAGCCATTGTTCCACTCATTAAGCCTTTTGTTTTGTGGCACTCATGTTCTTATTGCTGTTGCCATTGTGGTTTGCTTGAAGCTCTCTGATATCTCATCTGTGTGCTAATTTATTAAGTAGAAGTGCATATTTCTAATGAAAGAACTTTAGAGAACCAAAGATGATGCAGGCATGATTCAATTGGAAGTTTCTAAATCCAGTTATTTTGTGTGTAGTCCTATACAACTAGCCTTCTATTATTCATACATTTCAGACATCAAGTCTTGCCAAAACTGCGACTGTGGGAGTTCTTCTGTGTGGATGTAGATAAGACAGTAGATGAGTTCCGTAATGCCATGTTGAGGGCAAAGAGACCAGTCGGTGGTCCATCTAAACATGATGGGCCCCCTCTGAAGGTGACCACTGGTACACTTTATGAACGCTTTTCAGGAACCATTGATATGGCAAAAGCTCTTGAAAAGTTCAACAAAGAACGGTAAATACTGTAGCATTAGTTAGAAATAAAGTTTTGCTTGTTTATCAGCCTATCAATAAAGCCCAGTAAAAAATGAAAGCTTTTTCGATGCCATGGTCTCTAAAAGTGGGTAGGAGTAAATTTACTTCTACTCAGATTCAGAAAATTGTAGCTATTCTAATTGCAAGCATGCATGCCTGTACGTGGGCAAGATGGGACTATCATGCCAGGTCAGGACTGCTCACTGTATCCCACAAGAAAATGGTGTCCTTTTAAGAGGAGCTCCTGCGCGCCTTTGGCGCGCAAGCAGAGCCCCATACCTTAGAAAATTTGTTAACCCATTGATCTGAAAAATTTTGGTTGTCATGTGACTGTCCGTACATATTTTGGGCGTCCACGTTATTGTTAATTGACAGCTGTCTGCTATCTGCTGACCAGTATCACGTGACAATATCGCAGGCTCTGGTTTAGAGCTCATCGAGGTTGCGGTTTTTTTTTTTAAAGTTGACCGCTGACCAGTTACTGGTTTAACAATTGGATCGCAGGCTCAAGTCACGTTATTTCTCTGAGTACTTGCAAAGGCAAAATTTCGGCACAAATTAACCCCTGGCACATTGCTGACTTTTCTTCTGACATATTCCTTGTACAATCGTCTCTTGGAAAGTCCCTGATATATTGCATATGTAATTTCTGCAATCTTGGTTAGGCTTGTTGGGTATAGTTTGTTAAAATTTAACTGGAAAAAATAGCAAAACCACACGCTGAACAATTGGATGCTCACAATTGATCATTTTTTAAGTTTCTGATCCAAGAAAAAATAATTCTCTTTTTCCTTTATCGTTGCAATCAGGAGCTCCGCTTTTAGGCTTGGCTAAATCAATATATTATTTCACTGGATCATAGCCCTGTTCTTTTTTTTTCATGTTTATGGATCTCTTGTACATTGTACATCTCTGTCCAGGAATATGTCGACACGTGGTCAATAATATTATTGGGTATAATAATATTATTAAGTATAATATTATTATACTTAATAGTAAGAGTCTAATACCACCCTAATTAGGGGACTTAAGATTTGAGTACGAGTACAAGATCAAGTACAATATTGAGTACGAGAACNAGGTTTATTACTTGTGACTGGCAGATACCAGGATGCCAGGTGCGTTTGACTCTTGTAACGCGTTACTTATAGTCTCTCACTTTTTATCGGTCCCCACGCGATGCGTCTCCTCGCGCGAGGGGATTCTAGCACACGCGCGCGTGGGCTCGCCCACTCGACTAACACTGAGAAAAGTGGGGCACTACTCTTAGTAAAACTTTGATATACAAGCAACGTATGAATTAACTAACTCATATCAAACAAACAAAGAGGCGTGGTGATCTAATGGGTTATCCACCCTAGATAGAGAGATCTGGGTTTCGAACCCTGACCAGACAAGTTGTGTCATTTTGCAAGGCAAGTCTTTTTACACTCGGAGTGTCTCTCTCCACTCAGGAACACAAATGGGTATTGGTGGACTGTTAGTACAACCTAACAAACTTCCACCACATAAAGCACGGAAAAATATAATAACATTTCCAGCATAGTAGTTGGTGTGGAAGCCTAAAGAGAACCCATAAGACTTGTTCGTTATAGTGATTTAAGATAACGTCATGAGGAAGGGTACATTGCCATTCCGAGTGGTGGGAGACTATAGCGCTTGTCGCTTCATGCTAAAAAAAATACTAAAATCAATCATGTACAGTTGGCCGGTACAAATAATTTATGACTCCTCTCATTCTGACGTATTTTTTCCAAGGATTGACTAGCGTTCAAAACATCGTCGCTTTGTTATTTAATTCAGTTATGTTATCTCACTTAAATTTTATAATGAGTGAACGTTTTGTTTGCTTTCTGATACGCATCAATTTGAAACAAAAGGAGGCGAATTCTGACGTCCTTCGTATTACTTTTCAGATGTTTTCAGCTGTTACAAATAAAGAGTTTAAGAGCCTTGTCCCCTAACGAACGCAAGTTAGCCATCTATTGTAGCTTTTATTGATAAGAGCCTTAACGACTGGCAAAAATTAAACAAACAAAAAAAGAGTTAACATACTACCAGTATCTCTTATTTGCTTTAACATAAATACCACCTCTATTCCCTATTCAATATTTTGTAGACATCATATCCTGGCATACGCAGCGTGTGTCCGACACGGCCTGGTACCGAACCTTCTGGACGGTGGACGTAAGCCCCGGTATAACTGCAGGGACGCATCCTGGTGGTGGCTCCAGTGTATTCAGGATTATTGTTCCATTGTCCCGGATGGACTTAGCATTTTGTCGGATCCAGTGTCAAGAATTTTCCCCTCGGATTGTTCTGAGCCACAGCCACCAGGCAAAACAGTAAGTAAAGTAAAATACCTTGTTATGGTCATCATTGCTTCACAGCGAAACACGGGTGTAATAGAACTGCGCGCTGACGAAATGTCGGGAGATTACATTTCGTGTTTTGTCCTATTTGAATCTCGGATACAAGAAATTTACAATATGTACGAGGGCATTTCCTTTGTATTTTACTGTAACGTGAAAAATCTACTTGTTGTACAATTGCTGATACTGGAGTACCATACTTACTTTGAGAGAAGACTGAGAAGACGCTAAGTGAAAAGTGTATGAGAACCTGGATTTATTTTTCTCAAAATGATTACGAAACTTTCAATGTCATAAACTTCAAACTAGGAACAACCAAGAAGCGGAATTTTCTAACTAACCTAGTTTTTTCCTTGCAGAATTCTTGAAAACCCGTTGAATTATTATCGAGTTCAGTCCACTCCCATCAGATCAGTTCACTTAGAGTTGTATCCAATCTTGGCTGAAAGTTATCTCAAGTGATATTGATCAGTGATTTTCTCTAAAAAGAACTCTTATATCAGGAGCTGTGAACACTAAACACGCGATACAATGTTGGGCAAAATTTCGGAGATCCACGAGTGATGGCGTCATCTATGTGTCTGTGCTTTTTTTGGCAGATAACAGTTAGCCAATGAGCGTGTGAGAAATTTGACAGTGCTTGCAAAATAAATACCTTTTCAAAAATTATTGAAAAAATGACTTAAAATACTGTGACACACAGACTTTGTAGAAACCTGAGGCAGATGTCTTACTTGTCTTCTTCGTTCCAGGATCAACCGCTGTATGACGTCATACAGGAAGTGATGCAACGTCATTTCATTGGCATCAGTTTCCGTGAGCGGGGAGCTGGGCCCGATCTGGACAATCACATGCACGGGGCTGGATTTAATGTCACTGTTGGTGTCCGGGAGAGTACTGGGTTCGTGTTTGGTGGGAATCAGTGGAATGCTGGGACATGGATGGACAAAGTTGGTGAATCACACACGGCGGGGAACTTTGGTGTGCCTGCTACACCAAGGTAACATAATTCTACTTGCGCTTGAAACACTTGTGCAGTGATTTGACTTCGGTTCGACTCGCTTGCAAGCGAAGTTTTCGTAGTAAAAAAAGTGAATTTTCCGGCATAGCTGTCAAAGTTCGCATTTGATCGATTAGGTCTTCCTGTTGACCTGTACCTCTTTAAAACTTCTATTTTGATTCGTTCTTGTTAATCTATACCTCTTTTGTTCTTAGAGTTAGGGGCAGTGTTTGTGTTCTTTATCGGTTATCTATTTTTCGTTTGGTCAATTCTACAGAGCCTTGTAAACGGTCCAGGTCGCCCCAGGTCTTTCTTTGCTGTTCTCCATGAATTTACCTGTCTCCTATATTGAACTTTGTCTCGAGCGTTTCTAGTATTGTGTTAAGGAATTTTCAAAATGACAACAGGCATAGCGTTGCGTTTCTGTGTGCCTAATTTTGTGTTTCTGCTCCTTTTCTTGTAGCGAGTAGATGCTTGTTAGAGTGATACTGTTTTGCTCTGTTGTATTGGAAAATTTGATGACTACTGTAGTAATTAGTGATTTCGTTTAACGTTCCATATCTCAGAGACGGTAGCGCTGTGGAGATTGTAGGTCTTTGCAAATCGACTGTGCGCTGGTTAGCCAAGCTGTGTGACCAAAAGAAGTTTCCATATGCTGGTGTATCCAAGCTACAAGATGGTAGGTTTTTCACACATTTTGTCAGAAGTGAGTAATGCTAATCTAGCTTTATAGACTTCTGATTGCGTTCGCTTTTGTTGTGATACCCGGATGTAATATAAACGTCCTGCCCAACTCCATCACGTGACTGTGTCAGCCATGCGTATTGGTCTAGGTACACGATAGATGAGCAAGTCAAAAGCTTGTAGTGAATTTTTAACAACCCCAAGGTTAAGAACAGTGATGTTAAACTGAGATTTTAAGATTGTATGCTGGATGCCAACGCTTGTTATCCAAACAATTTAGAAGTCGTCATACAGCCATAAATCTTTGCATTTAGTATAAATCTACTTGCATTCTATAACGAAAGCCGTTCTCTGATTAGCTACTGATTGGCTACACTACTCACTATCTGTGCTGTTGTAGATAGTGAGTAGCGTAGCTAGTGAGTAGCGTAGTAGATAGTGAGTAACGTAGCGTTTTGAACGACTAGTAGATTTATACTAAAACAATAATTATTAGATTATTCACTCTCGATTTGCATGCGTGATAGAAATTTTGAGCTCATAATCTAACTGTTTATTAGGCATCAATGCTCTCACAATTAGATATGTTACTAATTTCATCACGCTTTTTCCTTCTGGTATCCATTTAGTTCCATTACTATTTTTATGATTGACATGATCATATCATGACATATTCACCATCACAATTTAGATAAGATTCAATTTGTCCTGTAAGGTTTCCCAGTGGAGTTGTCTTACAAAGAGTGGGGGATGAAGATTGAAAATGAGTTTGAGGATAACTTTTGGATACCTGACGATCCTAAACCCAAACAGCAGCAGACTGAGGAGGCAAAACTCATCCACAGAAGAGGCATCTACAAAGACACTGTTGGCGCAAGTCACAGATTCGCTGATTATCAGTTCAGGCCCAACTTGTGTGTGGCTATGACAGTGGTAAGGGAACTCTAGGGCGTGTTCCTGATAGGTACCCTCCATAGCAAGCCAGTCTGGGCGAGAGACCTGTTTACAGGGGTCATAACCCCGGGTGGTTATTAGGCTTTGACGGAAGAGTAACTCGCCCCCCTCCCGGGCAGGGGGGGGGGGGGAGTCAACTCTCTCCGGGTTATTTTTGACTCGAGTTCCAAGAGTTACTGTATAAATAATGATAGAGACATTTACCTATCAGTTCAGGCCTAACTTGTATGTTGCCATGACTGTAGTAAGGGATCTTAAGGACCTGGTAGGTACTTTTCATAGCAAACCACACTGGGCGATAGACTATTTTATTCATTTCTTTAAAATTAGCAGCGAACTTTTTACGGGGGGTTATAACCCGCAAGGGGTGGCGGGGGGGATTAGTCAACTCCCTCCCTGGTTGTTTTTTATTTGAGTTCCTAGAGGTACCGTATAGACAATGATAGCGACATCTTGCAGGTGGGTTTGAATGTCACGTGATACCTTTGAATTGCAGGCCCCAGAGATGTTTAACCCTGAGCATGCGTGGAAGTGTCTAGATTTGGTGGAGGAAGTTCTTTTAGGCCCATTAGGCATGGCTACATTGGATCCCAGGTAACGCGGACAATTTCGTTGTCTAAAGTGCAAAAATGGAGATACCAAGAGAAAGGTGTTTATTAGTACATGACAAGCTCCGAGTTTTCGCAATAGAAGGCAACCTTCTGACCTTCCACGCACGGGTCGGATGCTCTACCTCTGATTTACAGAAGACTTGTTGAAATGTATACTCTGAAATCTCAATTCTACGAATTTTTACATGCTACACTATAGTCGTCAGTTTCCGTCTGGCCCCATTCTCAACCAGGCTAATGGAAAGCTGCTCTTCACTGCATTCTTTTTGCTCGTCACTCACGTCGCACATTCTTTGGCACGGAATGATTGCGTGACGAGAAAAAAGAATGGCCATGGTATACGAGTATTGTGCGACGAGCAAAATGAATGTCTACATAGAGGGAAAAACTCTACAAAACATACTTGACGAGGATACTTTTTACCGAACATACATTATCCCAACCTGGGTAGTTTTTGGAGTTTCTGTCTTTCGTTCATTGATTTTGATTCCTTGAACGTTGTTGCCAGCAACTGAATAGTTTATTCGTGTTGTTTTTTATCTGCCTGTTCCAGTGACTGGGCTTATGAAGGAGTTTACGACAACGCACAAGATTCATCCTCATACAAGAGCGCAAAGGGATTCTCTTACCATCAGGGACCGGTGAGTGCTTCGTAGATCATAAAAATGTTTTAAACAGTGGTTCAGCCAGTCTGATTGTCCATAGTTAGTGGATTGTCCGGGTGAGGACAAGGAGTCTTTCTCCTACCCCTGGATGGGATGCTAGTTCGTCACAGGGTTAGCTCCAGTATTAAATATGTTGTTACCTGGGTGGAGAGAGACAGTGTGAGAGTAAATTGTCTTGCCTAAGAACACGGACCACTCGATCCAGAGTCCAGAGTGAAGTAACCAAGGCTACACGACCGAAATGTCTGTGTGGAGTCAAGTGTTTTGTCTAAGGGTGCATCTTGAGTGTCTTGAACTAGTGAGACAATACTCTGCACAGGCTTAGGAACAATATATCTTTGAACAGATTGCTTGCAAGTATTGTTATTAAAACCGAGTAAATAGAAAACAAATAGTTGTCATGGAGTTAAGAAATATTTGTTCTACTATCAAACAAGAATATAAGAAATCAACAACAACAACAAGCTTTATTGCCAGATTAAAAGTTAAACTTGAATTACAGCATAATATATTAATACAAATAAAGGTAACATTTACTCAGAATAACTATACAGCTAATCGAGCTGAGTAAAACTAAATAATGTTTACATATCGGATGTAGGTTGGCACTAAAGCTTCAGGAATGCAAGGAGATAAAAAGAAGACAAAGAGACAAACAATAAAATTTAAAAAAAAACATAAATAAATAAAATAAATAATTACCAGTTGAAAGCTCATGAACAGTATGAATGTAAGTTATTTAACTCGACTTCGTTTTTAAACGTTTTATTAAAGGGGGAGGTGTTTAATGGTTTCGTCAAGGTGATTCCAAACTTTTGCAGCTGCAAAGTGAATGCTGAATTTCTCATAGTTTGTTTTGATGGTATTGATATAATAGGTTGCTCAATCAAGCTAAATCCTTGTGTTTCTATTTTGCAGGAGTGGCTTTGGTGCCTAGGCCCCTTTCTTAGAGCTCGACTGTACTTCGCCAAGAAACTCCATGGTAAAGAGGGTCTAGAGCGGACAATAGTTCGCGTGAAGAGCATCCTGGCAAGACACAAAGTGGAAATAACAAACTCCCCCTGGCGCAGCTTACCTGAACTTACTAACGCCGGGGGGGTGCCATGTCATGATGGCTGTCCTGCACAGGCATGGTCTGTAAGCTGCTTGTTAGATGTATTGTACGATATGGAGAAATTAGTTCAAGGAGACAATACAACTTGACTGTAGCTGGAAGGCTGGTCTTTTAAGCCGTTAGTTTGGATTCCGTAACGTAATGTCACGTCACGTAACGCTTGGGTCGTCTCATGGCGTGACACCGGGTTGCATACGCAGCCGTTATTTTGGTCACGTAACGTTACATCACGTGCAGCCGTTCTCTATGGTCGCGTAACGTTACGTTACACATAGTAACCTTTAGTTGGCGTGTAAGTGTTGTTTTGGGTCGTGAGGTAAAATGGAGTAGCTAGGTAGCTATTTAATTAGACGATTTATTCCGTAAATGAAATTGCGTTCACACTAATTCCAAAAGACATGTTTATTTTCCACAAGCTTGTTTCTAATTGCGTTGTTAACATTAGGTGGCTATGTTTCAAGTCAAGTTTCGTTATATATTTCGTTTTACGGTAGATACATCAGATTGTTATAGCTACACATAAAAGCGAGAATTGGTGCTCGAACTTCATGTTGCAGTTATTTTATTAGCCTCCCTTCGTTCAGTTAGTTCACGCCGTTTTTTCGCGCCGCGCTCCAACTAACTGAACGCGTGGAAGAGGCTATTATTTCAGTTATGGTCTAATTCAAGAGGCAACTTACTTCCTTTTCGCTTTTTGTATCTCTTAAGGTACAATCATGTTCTGACTAAATGTATTTCGATCATTTTTTTATGCAGTGCACCTTTTAAAGATTCATAATAAAACATGTTTCATTCATGCGTAGACTAAACGTGTTTAGGAGAGTGTGAACGCAGTACAAGTCTCGTCTACTGAATGCAGGACGACAAGTCTTTCAAAACGGCTCTTATAGTGTCAAGGTGTCCCGAAAAATTACTAAAATTTCTTAAACTATATTAGGTTATTTAGGTATTTTCTGGTTTGTGCGTAGTCGTATCTTTATGTTCATCCTGGGCTTATTTTTTGGCGAGCAGGACGGTCTGTTTCAAAGCAGCGTGGTAAGATCCCTGCTCAAAGTTTGTGTTCGAGTGAATGTCCCGAGGAAATGGGCAGGACTGCACGCGGCAGTCTAAATGTATTATTAGTGTATTATTAGTATTTAACTCATTGTAATTCAGAGGTAGGATGCGAGAAGTCTCATTAGGTGTAATCTTAAATCTTCTGTATAGCTCCAGATCGATAATTTTTTGGTTTTCTCGTCTGATTCATTTCTTTTAATTAATCGTTGATCATAACGTGGGGAAACAGACTTCCCAGATAACAGCCAATCAGAGACGGTATATAGTATCACGTCATCAGTCTTGGATTTTCGGGTGGGGTTGGGTTGGGGGGGCGGGAGCAGAGAACGGTGGATCTGAGCTCTCATAGGAGATGTGCGTTTTCTCGGGCTGTGTTCATCAGAATCAAGTGTAGGTAGTAAACACGGTATCTGCGGCATAAGTTCGCAAACAGAAAACAGCAGCAGAAAACTTTGTCGCCAATGCGTTTGCGGGATCTTTTGGGTATAGGAGGTAAGGTTTAAAATGGTGGCAACGGAGAGCAAGAAAATTAAACAGTCCTCGAACTGAATGTACTGATTGATTCAGAAAGCACAATCCAGTGATTATTTTAATCTTTGAAAGACATTTCAGCGTTCAACAGACGCCATCTTATCCACCCAAACGATTCCAGAAACCATCACGCACTGATGTACTCAGTCTCTCCATATTTCTAGACTATACCGTCTATACGGAATAATAAATGATCTTTGTATTGTGTGTAGAGAGACTAAAAGTAAGCTTTTAAAATATTAATCTATCAGTAGTTATCGCTACCAATAAAATCATCAAATAATTGTCACGTGGGCGTAATGTCATATCTCTTTGATGACGACATTTATGTGACGTCATTTAACTACAATGAAAAACCCTGCAGTTACTGGGAGCGAGGTCTGGCAGTTTTTTTGATATTAAAAGCTGTTGTGTTTAACGTCTCATTTGGGATTTTCAGAATTTAACGAGGAAAGAATATTTGAGTAAAGGGACAAAGGAAAGCAATGGAGGATATTTTCAGTTGTTCAGTATTAGTTATTTAATCATAAGCATCGGAGAATGCGTTTCTAGCCTTCTGATTAGTTCACTGATTCTTGATTGTCAACCATTATACCTGGGTTTGACCTTATGTGGAAAATGAGTGCTTATCATGGTCACAGAGGGCGCGTTCCATTCGACCAAAATTTCTGGAAATTTCGGTTCAAAATTGAATGGAACAGAAAGTTTCCGAAAATTCGTTTTGAAAATTTTGGTCAACCTCTCGAGGATGTCCCTTTTTTCGGAAATTTGAAATTGCGGACATTTCCTGTTCCATTTGGCATTTCTACCCGGTATGAGTCGGTCCTAGTTCCTCTAGTCGTGAATATTGCCTCGACCAAAGCTACAAGATGGCGGCCAGTCGACACTACACTGGATGCAAAACGATCTGCCACAGTTCAAGCCTTTTATTGATTGCCTATCCTCCACAAAAACGTTAGGATCTGCTATTCTGGAAAATTGTGGACTGGTCGTTCCGAATATCCTGTGGGTATTTGCCCGGTTTGCATAATCTCCCGCGAGAAAAGTTCGCAAGTTTCTTATCACACGAAGATAATTCTTGAGTCGGTCAGGTAAATATCTCGGACGAGTTTACTCAAAGTAATCGTGAATGCGTGTTAAATTTCTCTGCATGAAGCAGCTTACTGCCCTTTAATCAGCCACTTCATTATTATCCTTCAGCATTTTGGTCGAGTAAATCTTGGCGGGAAATGTGCCCAGGCGGGAATAGAACGAGATCGGTCCGGTCTGCTGGAAAATACCGTTCCATTCGGAGGCGTACGAAAATTTCGGTAATTCAAACCGGAATTTTTAGTCGAATGGAAGGCGCCCTGAATGTCATATTTAACTTAACTACGTAGAATTGGATTCAAATTCCGAGGGGGTGGGGGGGACAAATTTGTCATGTTGCAAGACAGTTGTTTGAACAATTCCAACGTTAAAGGAGCTCAGTCACGGTTTGCGCATAATGAAAAGTTTAGCCTCAATTTTTCAAATTCGTCGTTTGTAATCCGTGTCAATCTTCTCCATCCTTAGCCATCCTTGTTTCTCTATGGTTTATCATTATCTCTGGTGTTTTTCTATCTTATTAAACTGTTATTTTCAGGTTGCCTACCATTTAAAGGTAATTTTGTATGTGGCCAAAATAACTCAAAATACCGTCACTGAGACCCTTTAATCAAAACTTGATTTATTTCTCAAATCGTTGGATTGACTAGGGTGTGTTATTCCAGAAATCCTTTTGAAAATAGGAATAGAAGCTAAAGAGTCTGCAGATAGATGAGCCTCCCTCCGTGGTGGAGGTGGGGAGGAAGAAGCACTCTGCTGGGATATACGAGCGCCCATATATTTACAAAGATCAGACGTGATTTTTCTTTCATTTACCAGGAAACTCTATTCATTACCATCAGGAACATACAGCTGCTCCGGAGTTATATGCTCCTGTCCCACAAAAAAAGATCCACTGACCAACTTCCGGTTTGGAAAACACCAAAGTGCACATCATTCTTCATAGAACAAAGTCTTCCAGCGGAAAATGCCCCTGAATAGCTTAACACAGGAGTACGATCCCCGAACCCTGTATTACTGTAAGTACTTTCTTCCTGGGCGACGGTTCTGCTCCTCCCATTTGGCCGGTAATGCGACAGGTAATGCGATACGCTTCATATCTTCAATTCTCGTATAGGAACACGGTGCGTTGAAAACGCGTGAGCGATGCTCACTAATCTGTAACTGTGTTTCGAATGGGGCAGGAGCTTGAGAGCCCTTAGAGGATAAACCATGCTTTTATCTTTATCCCAGTGTTACAAGAAAAAAAACTTGGACTCAGAGACGAATTTTACCGCATGTTCACAGTTCACACAACAGTTTCTTCCCGCTCTTTCCCGCGTATTTTCACTTGATGTGCACTGCAAGCTTCCGTAAAATGCCTGACTAGTCATGCCTTCATTCTTTTTAAGCGCTAAAAATTATCATCTACTTAACTAATATGGAGATACCAGAGCAAATGGAACACCAAGCGATGTAAACATATGTTTTATAACAACCGACTTGCAAAAAGCTCGCTAAAGATGCAAAATTAACTTTTTAACTTTTTGGGAGTTTCGCACAGAGCTAAACTTTGGCCTAAGCTTTGGCAGCTATAAAAGGTTTCCTAGGGCTGCGACTTACTTTTGTTAGAAGAACGAAAATTCTTAGAGCGGCTCTAAGTTATTGAGACGCCAATCTGTTTCAGGTCTGAAAATTTTTGTTGATGGCACATTTGTAAAAGCAAGATTAGTTTGGCCGTGTTCGTTTCCCTGACGGAAGAGAGACTGGGAACGAAAAAGAAACCCAAGATGGCTGCGGAAGTTAAAATCTTATTTGTACGCCAGACAATCGATGAAGAGACTGCCTTTGGTGTTTTTAGCCTTTCCAAACGTATTTTCGGATGTGTATTTGTATTTCAATGCAAGAATTATGCCTGCAGCAGGCTGCAAAACACATAAAGTGGGTACCACGTTGACTGACGTCCTTCGCAAGTATTACAACAGCCCGATAGGAATGCAAAACTGCTAAGGTAAGCTCAAGCTTTAACTCAAAAGCTGTTATTTACGAAAAGCGGTTTTTAAACCTAATCATCTTCTCATTCTTTCCATTAAATAAGTTTAAGATTTAATTCGGTTAAATTGTTAGTTCTTCAAGTGTCAGAAGTGTTTCACGTAAAGCGGGAATTCAAATTCTTACATCGCACACTTGCGCCGTTGTTTAGAGCAAAAATATCGGGAAGCTACTGTTTGTTTGAGTTAGTAGCTTACAAAAAGAAATTTCGAACCCCTTAAGCGATGATTTTAGACAACAAATAAGATGTTATTTAAAACGTACTTAACTCCGATCCCTCTCTCCCAGACCTCATTAGCTTACGGCTTTTCGCACCAATTTGCACGTGTGCAAATCTCACATCTGAGAGGCTAAACTCAGTGAAGAAAATGCCACCTCTTCATGCAATTTGATTTCATGGAGTAATTGCAGAATACCCGGCCACTCGAAGTTGTACCCCCTAAAAGCCTGGATACACGGNTGATTCCAAACTTTTGCAGCTGCAAAGTGAATGCTGAATTTCTCATAGTTTGTTTTGATGGTATTGATATAATAGGTTGCTCAATCAAGCTAAATCCTTGTGTTTCTATTTTGCAGGAGTGGCTTTGGTGCCTAGGCCCCTTTCTTAGAGCTCGACTGTACTTCGCCAAGAAACTCCATGGTAAAGAGGGTCTAGAGCGGACAATAGTTCGCGTGAAGAGCATCCTGGCAAGACACAAAGTGGAAATAACAAACTCCCCCTGGCGCAGCTTACCTGAACTTACTAACGCCGGGGGGGTGCCATGTCATGATGGCTGTCCTGCACAGGCATGGTCTGTAAGCTGCTTGTTAGATGTATTGTACGATATGGAGAAATTAGTTCAAGGAGACAATACAACTTGACTGTAGCTAGAAGGCTGGTCTTTTAAGCCGTTAGTTTGGATTCCGTAACGTAATGTCACGTCACGTAACGCTTGGGTCGTCTCATGGCGTGACACCGGGTTGCATACGCAGCCGTTATTTTGGTCACGTAACGTTACATCACGTGCAGCCGTTCTCTATGGTCGCGTAACGTTACGTTACACATAGTAACCTTTAGTTGGCGTGTAAGTGTTGTTTTGGGTCGTGAGGTAAAATGGAGTAGCTAGGTAGCTATTTAATTAGACGATTTATTCCGTAAATGAAATTGCGTTCACACTAATTCCAAAAGACATGTTTATTTTCCACAAGCTTGTTTCTAATTGCGTTGTTAACATTAGGTGGCTATGTTTCAAGTCAAGTTTCGTTATATATTTCGTTTTACGGTAGATACATCAGATTGTTATAGCTACACATAAAAGCGAGAATTGGTGCTCGAACTTCATGTTGCAGTTATTTTATTAGCCTCCCTTCGTTCAGTTAGTTCACGCCGTTTTTTCGCGCCGCGCTCCAACTAACTGAACGCGTGGAAGAGGCTATTATTTCAGTTATGGTCTAATTCAAGAGGCAACTTACTTCCTTTTCGCTTTTTGTATCTCTTAAGGTACAATCATGTTCTGACTAAATGTATTTCGATCATTTTTTTATGCAGTGCACCTTTTAAAGATTCATAATAAAACATGTTTCATTCATGCGTAGACTAAACGTGTTTAGGAGAGTGTGAACGCAGNCAGTTATGGTCTAATTCAAGAGGCAACTTACTTCCTTTTCGCTTTTTGTATCTCTTAAGGTACAATCATGCTCTGACTAAATATATTTCGATTATTTTTTACGCAATGCACCTTTTAAAGATTCATAATAAAACATGTTTCATTCATGTGTAGACTAAACGTGTTTAGGAGAGTGTGACCGCAGTACAAGTCTCGTCTACTGAATGCAGGTCGATAAGTCTTTCAAAACGGCTCTTACAGTGTCAAGGTGTCCCGAAAAATTACTGAAATTTCTTAAACTTTATTAGGTTATTTAGGTATTTTCTGGTTTGTGCGTAGTCGTACCTTTATGTTCATCCTGGGCTTATTTTTTGGCGAGCAGGACGATCTGTTTCAAAGCAGCGTGGTAAGATCCCTGCTCAAAGTTTGTGTTCGAGTGAATGTCCCGAGGAAATGGGCAGGACTGCACGCGGCAGTCTAAATGTATTATTAGTGTATTATTAGTATTTAACTCATTGTAATTCAGAGGTAGGATGCGAGAAGTCTCATTAGGTGTAATCTTAAATCTTCTGTATAGCTCCAGATCGATAATTTTTTGGTTTTCTCGTCTGATTCATTTCTTTTAATTAATCGTTGATCATAACGTGGGGAAACAGACTTCCCAGATAACAGCCAATCAGAGACGGTATATAGTATCACGTCATCAGTCTTGGATTTTCGGGTGGGGTTGGGTTGGGGGGGCGGGAGCAGAGAACGGTGGATCTGAGCTCTCATAGGAGATGTGCGTTTTCTCGGGCTGTGTTCATCAGAATCAAGTGTAGGTAGTAAACACGGTATCTGCGGCATAAGTTCGCAAACAGAAAACAGCAGCAGAAAACTTTGTCGCCAATGCGTTTGCGGGATCTTTTGGGTATAGGAGGTAAGGTTTAAAATGGTGGCAACGGAGAGCAAGAAAATTAAACAGTCCTCGAACTGAATGTACTGATTGATTCAGAAAGCACAATCCAGTGATTATTTTAATCTTTGAAAGACATTTCAGCGTTCAACAGACGCCATCTTATCCACCCAAACGATTCCAGAAACCATCACGCACTGATGTACTCAGTCTCTCCATATTTCTAGACTATACCGTCTATACGGAATAATAAATGATCTTTGTATTGTGTGTAGAGAGACTAAAAGTAAGCTTTTAAAATATTAATCTATCAGTAGTTATCGCTACCAATAAAATCATCAAATAATTGTCACGTGGGCGTAATGTCATATCTCTTTGATGACGACATTTATGTGACGTCATTTAACTACAATGAAAAACCCTGCAGTTACTGGGAGCGAGGTCTGGCAGTTTTTTTGATATTAAAAGCTGTTGTGTTTAACGTCTCATTTGGGATTTTCAGAATTTAACGAGGAAAGAATATTTGAGTAAAGGGACAAAGGAAAGCAATGGAGGATATTTTCAGTTGTTCAGTATTAGTTATTTAATCATAAGCATCGGAGAATGCGTTTCTAGCCTTCTGATTAGTTCACTGATTCTTGATTGTCAACCATTATACCTGGGTTTGACCTTATGTGGAAAATGAGTGCTTATCATGGTCACAGAGGGCGCGTTCCATTCGACCAAAATTTCTGGAAATTTCGGTTCAAAATTGAATGGAACAGAAAGTTTCCGAAAATTCGTTTTGAAAATTTTGGTCAACCTCTCGAGGATGTCCCTTTTTTCGGAAATTTGAAATTGCGGACATTTCCTGTTCCATTTGGCATTTCTACCCGGTATGAGTCGGTCCTAGTTCCTCTAGTCGTGAATATTGCCTCGACCAAAGCTACAAGATGGCGGCCAGTCGACACTACACTGGATGCAAAACGATCTGCCACAGTTCAAGCCTTTTATTGATTGCCTATCCTCCACAAAAACGTTAGGATCTGCTATTCTGGAAAATTGTGGACTGGTCGTTCCGAATATCCTGTGGGTATTTGCCCGGTTTGCATAATCTCCCGCGAGAAAAGTTCGCAAGTTTCTTATCACACGAAGATAATTCTTGAGTCGGTCAGGTAAATATCTCGGACGAGTTTACTCAAAGTAATCGTGAATGCGTGTTAAATTTCTCTGCATGAAGCAGCTTACTGCCCTTTAATCAGCCACTTCATTATTATCCTTCAGCATTTTGGTCGAGTAAATCTTGGCGGGAAATGTGCCCAGGCGGGAATAGAACGAGATCGGTCCGGTCTGCTGGAAAATACCGTTCCATTCGGAGGCGTACGAAAATTTCGGTAATTCAAACCGGAATTTTTAGTCGAATGGAAGGCGCCCTGAATGTCATATTTAACTTAACTACGTAGAATTGGATTCAAATTCCGAGGGGGTGGGGGGGACAAATTTGTCATGTTGCAAGACAGTTGTTTGAACAATTCCAACGTTAAAGGAGCTCAGTCACGGTTTGCGCATAATGAAAAGTTTAGCCTCAATTTTTCAAATTCGTCGTTTGTAATCCGTGTCAATCTTCTCCATCCTTAGCCATCCTTGTTTCTCTATGGTTTATCATTATCTCTGGTGTTTTTCTATCTTATTAAACTGTTATTTTCAGGTTGCCTACCATTTAAAGGTAATTTTGTATGTGGCCAAAATAACTCAAAATACCGTCACTGAGACCCTTTAATCAAAACTTGATTTATTTCTCAAATCGTTGGATTGACTAGGGTGTGTTATTCNAATCGTTGGATTGACTAGGGTGTGTTATTCCAGAAATCCTAGGACCGAAAAATAAGACCAGTTCCCAGAGAGATCCAAAGAGTTCCTTTTGAAAATAGGAATAGAAGCTAAAGAGTCTGCAGATAGATGAGCCTCCCTCCGTGGTGGAGGTGGGGAGGAAGAAGCACTCTGCTGGGATATACGAGCCCCCATTTACAAAGATCAGACATGATTTTTCTTTCATTTGCCAGGAAACTCCCTTTACTACCATCAGGAACATACAGCCGCTCCGGAGTTATATACTCCTGTCCCACAAAGATCTACTGACCAACTTCCGGATTGGAAAACACATCATTCGTCATAGAACAAAGTCTTCCAGCGGAAAATGCCCCTGAATAGCTTAACACAGAAGTACGATCCCCGAACCCTGTATTACTGTAAGTACTTTCTTCCTGGGCGACGGTTCTGCTCCTCCCATTTGGCCGGTAA